AGCAGCACTTGAGCTTTCAGAACTTGGAGCAGCACTTGAGCTAGAGAATAATGAGGAACTTTCACTTATACTAGAACTAATGCTGGATTCAAGACTACTTGGAACGTCTCCGCTACTACTGCTACTACTAGAACTCGAAGTAGCTATAGATCAAAACATTTGTTTAATCGAAGGCACAAAACCATATCAAATTTAAAATCATAAGGATTTGTTGACTTACAGTAAGGATTCTTCGTTGTCGTTGTAGTATATTTCTTTCTAATTAAGGTCCTTGTTGGACGTCCTTTATATCGTCGTCGTCTCTTTCCACCACCTTCAACTGTTATAGCCAACAGTGCGACAAGCAAAAGTATCAGTATAATTTTAAACTTCATTTTAATGAAGATTTTTGTAAAAGAAAAACAATTTAAATCACTTTTTTTCTCACTTTATTCACTTCACTTTTTCGTCACCTTTTATTCTCTTTTATTTCTCTCTACTTTTAGACCTTAAAGGTATTACTCCTTAAAGCCCACTGATGCCTATTTCATCAACACGTCCACCATTTATAGTCAATTGTGTCGTGACTTGTAAAATAGGTTGATGACTGTGAAGGAAACTTAAATTTATTTTTTTTTATTTTTCCATCACGATTGAAGCTGACTTTTTTACTGCCCATAATGGATGGATTTTCGTGACCACGATAGGTCATCGAATTTAAATTTTAATCTATCAATTTTTTTATAACTTTTTTTTTGTGTTCAATAAATTTTATTCGAGTTTTAATGAACATTTTCCTTTTTGAATTTGAAGGATTTGGCTGAGTGGAAAATTTTAATGCGCAATTTATCTTTTGAAGCTTGTTGGAAACCTTAATAGTTTCTGTAGTCTTAAAGATTCAGCTCGTTTTGTCCTGAGACTCGTTCACAAATGACGGTTGACTGTAAATCTTGAAAATCGCAAACTTTATTTTTTTTTTTGTCAAACAGTTTTCGTTCAGTTGTCAGTTTATGGATGAAGTTATTACTTTCTGATGGATGAAATTGCAATTTTGCAAAACAAAGATTACAAATGACACAGAGACACTCCTGACAGACTTAACTGCTTCTTTTTGTGAAAATAATTTAACATCTAATGTCCTTAAAACTAAATTTATTTGGATAATTATATTTGTTCAGCCGTAAACAGCTGATTGGACAAGTTATTTGGTTACTAGGGACTTAAAATGAAATAAACAAATTCCTCTGTTGGGCTAATGTCATGTCTAATGACGGATGTATGGAATAAAACTCGATTAAACAGGACAAAATTTGACTTTCTGCTTCATTTTTAATATTAATTGATTTGGTAAAGAAGTGTACAACCTTTTTTTTATTTTTCGGCATATTTTAACCTAGAAACATTTTTGAAGCACATCTGAGAATTCCTTAATGAAAACTTTACGAAAATAGGTTAACCACGACTGGATTTTAATGCAGAGTTTCTCAAACATTTTTTGTTCGTGGCCTTTAAGACGCCATTTTGTAAATGGAAAATTCGAAGGAATATCTGTGAAACTCTTACAATACACCAGTGGGCAGGAACAAACAGTTTTAGGTACTATGTTCTAGTGACTTTCCCTACGCTTCATAGTGGAGCAATAGGAACCCATCATCATCTAGTGGCTAAGGTTTACAAGATATTATTACATAAATTAATGTATGTTTTTGAATCCCATTGAGTTTTAGGAGAATATTTCGATTAATTATTAAGATTTGACTACCTTCAAATAAAGATTTATGCCAGAAAAATCAATGTTCTCGAAGTTACAAGCACCAGGAGCAGTTCTCAAAATGGACAAAATGTCATTGAGTTTTGCAAACATTTCTGCTTATCTCCTTAAATCGTTACGACTTTTTTTATTGCCTTTTCTGTCCTATTAAAATTGCATTTAAAATTGCCACTGAAATTTAAATTTGAGTTTGGCATCAAAAAATATTTTTAAAGAATCTGATGAAATCTTGAAAAAATTTTTTGGAGGTTAACACAATTTAGTAAGGAGCCTGAGACTTAGTGATTAATTGAGTGAAATAAAAAAGATTATTTTGAATAAATTAAAATTTTTATTTTGATTGAAAAAATTGCTATTGACAGAGACAGTTTTGATATTTGGCAAACGGTAGCCAGCAATAGAACCAGCGTTATGTGGCATCTAAGGACGGCCATGGATCATAGTTGATGAAGCAGTTAAGTGCCTTGCTAGTCGAATTGGTAAGGCGCTTGGCTCAAATTTGGTATGGTAACTCGAAGATCGTCGGTTTGAATCCAGCTATTTCCAAATTTGTTCTTTTTCAGAAGTTTAGATACTTCGACTGCTTAATGTACGAGATCAAGCCATAATTGGGCATTTTGGGCAACGTTGGATTAAGGAACGGATCAGGAACTTGAAGTGTAGCGGGAGAAATAGGAACGAGAGCTACAAGATTACCCACGAATGGAATATTGTTAGAACGGACCTGAAATGTATCACGCAACGCCCACAGAAGATTGAAACGAGAGCCTGAATTTAATCGAAACCTAGATTTGAAGATTAGAAGCTTGATTCTACGTCACCCATAGTGATATGAAATGTATCACTAATCAATGTAAAAAGTAAAACATGTATAAATACTAATTCTTCCGGAAGGTAACGTCGACAAATAAATAATAATAATAATAATCTGTACGGCCTGCAAATTAAGTAAGTAAGATTGAGAAAATTCCACTTTATCAAAAATTTAAAATGAAACAAAAAGTTATAAAATTTTAAAAAAATAATGCAATAAAAATATTAAATTTCTAACTTGACAGTTTAATTAAAAAATAATTTATTTTATTTATATTTTTCATACAATCACGAAATTATTTTGTTATCAATAAAAAAGCTGGAGTGCATTAAAAAATCATGTCATTTAATATAAAATGAAATTAGTTTAAATGTCATTGATATGCGAAAATAGCTCAAAAGTTTAACAATTTAAAAAAAATTCAAGATTTTTTTGAATTTTTATTTTATTGGTAAATTTTAATGGTTTTTAAATTTTTTAAAATTTTTTAAATTTTTTAAAAATTTTCATTTTTATTATTATATTCTTAAGTTTTTTATTGTTATTAATATTTCTTAATTCCAAAATTTTTAAAATTTTGAACTCAGTTTTTTAATTTTGTTCAAATTTTGTTTTAATTCTTGCGTTTAAATTTCAAAATCCAAATATTCAAAAGTTTAAAACAGAAAATTTCGAAGATTTAAAATTAAAAGTTTCAAAAATTCAAATTTTTTTTAAAGATATATTTTTTTTTTGAATACTTTGCATTTTTAGATTATTATTTTAAAACATATAATATTGAAAGATTAAAAATAAATTCAATTTAAAATAAATAATTAAAAATATAAAAACATTAAAACTCGTTCATTTCTCATCAATAGCTTCATATGCACTCCTAATCAACGGAAATCCAGCACTACTATCATCTCCATCAAATGCATGAATCACAACACCTCCAAAACCTCCAAATTTTGCATAATTAGTCTTTGATCGAATTGTCTTACTATCATTACATTCATATGTAGCAACACCAATATTAAGTTTACCCAAATTAGCTCCATGTGACAGCCAAATGCTAACCGCATGATCAACAGTTATAAGCTCACGAGAAGGCATTTCCATGTCGAATGTCATTAAATTTATAAATTTTACTTTCTTTGAAATGTGTTTGATGTCGTAGGCATTAAAGGCATGTGCGTTGACTGTGACTGACAGGATTTGTGGATCGACAGTTTCCTCAAAGTTAAAGACATCAAATTCTGTTGGAAGTGACACATCGAATGACAATGCACCGTTTATGAGTTCTTTTAATCTCTTAATTAAGTCTGTAAAGGCTGCCGACTGCTGTTTTTGTGGAAATTGACAATTTATATCGATTCCATCAAAGTTGCATTTCCTGCAAAATCCAAGAATATTTTTTGCAAAATTTTTTCTCGACGTTTGACTTGACAGCATTGAATTGAAGGCTTTCTGTTGATCTTCACAGTTGTCACCAATTGAAATTAAAAGCTTTAACTTTTCATTTATTTTTCGCATTTTTTCAAGAAAATTTAATTCACTTAAAACTTGAATTTCGTCTGCATATGGAAATTTAATGTTTCCATCTCTGTCAATCCCAATTGATGTATAAATGATGTGAGTGCAAATGTGTGGATTAAGTAGGCTCACGTTAATGCTTCCATGGTAATAGCAGACTACATTGCTTGATGACATTTTATTGTCGATGTGAACTGAGCGTCGATTCATTAACGGGTTTGGTGGGCAAAGACCCCTCTTGACGTGTTTGAGAATTTTCTTTGGAACTTGGCGAGAGAAGTTTAAGGAAGTTGAAGGAGGTTTCAACTGATGGTGAAGATTCTAGGATAAAAGATATTTTTTATTGTATCGTAGTTTAACACCCCTGAATTTTTCATCCTTAAATTCACACCCCTCAATTTTTCATCCTTAGATTCACAGCCCTGAAATTTTCATCCTTAGTTTCACATCCCTGGAATTTTCATTCTTAGATTCACACCCCTGAATTTTTCATCCTTAGTTTCACACCCCTGGATTTTTCATCCTTAGAATCACACCCCTGAATTTTTCATCCTTAGTTTCACTCTCCTGGATTTTTCATCCTTAGATTCACACCCCTGAATTTTTTCATCCTTAGTTTCACACCCCTGGATTTTTCATCCTTAGATTCACACCCCTGAATTTTTCATCCTTAGTTTCATACCCCTGGTATTTTCATCCTTAGATTCACACCCCTGAATTTTTCATCCTTAGATTCACAGCCCTGAAATTTTCATCCTTAGTTTCACACCCCTGGAATTTTCATCCTTAGATTCACACCCCTGAATTTTTCATCCTTAGTTTCACTCTCCTGGATTTTTCATCCTTAGATTCACAGCCCTGAAATTTTCATCCTTAGTTTCACACCCCTGGAATTTTTATTCTTAGATTCACACCCCTGAATTTTTCATCCTTAGTTTCACACCCCTGGATTTTTCATCCTTAGATTCACACCCCTGAATTTTTCATCCTTAGTTTCACTCTCCTGGATTTTTCATCCTTAGATTCACACCCCTGAATTTTTTCATCCTTAGTTTCACACCCCTGGATTTTTCATCCTTAGATTCACACCCTTGAATTTTTCATCCCTAGTTTCATACCCCTGGTATTTTCATCCTTAGATTCACACCCCTGAATTTTTCATCCTTAGATTCACACCCCTGAATTTTTCATTCTTAGATTCACACCCCTGAATTTTTCATCCTTAGTTTCACACCCCTGGATTTTTCATCCTTAGATTCATACCCCTGAATTTTTCATCCTTAGTTTCACTCTCCTGGATTTTTCATCCTTAGATTCACACCCCTGAATTTTTCATCCTTAGTTTCACACCCCTGGATTTTTCATCCTTAGATTCACACCCCTGAATTTTTTCATCCTTAGTTTCACACCCCTGGATTGTTTATCTACTAGTTTTATTCTCTCTTTCTTAGTTAATTTTTTGACTTTTTTAAAATTGATTTTTTTAACCTTTGGTATTCAACCCCCACCCCTAAAGATCCATCATTTATACCATTATTAGTTTTATATTCCTTTCAGTTTACAAGTTTTATAGCCAAATACTTTAATTTAACAAAAAAATTTAACTTCCCTAAAAACTAAAACAATTCGCTGCAAAAATTTATAAACTTAACTTAAAAATCACACAAACCTCTCAAAAATCTCCAAATATTCTTCCTTTATTTACTTTACTGACTTAGAAATATCAACAATTAACACTTTGCACGACTTATTTACAAATAAATGACTCAATCGCAACTGCGAATCAGGTGAGAGAAATAGGAACTTGAGAGAACACCTTTTTGCTCTATTTATCTTATCAAGTTGCGAGCTTCAATTAGATAAGAATTGTGATATATAAAATAATTTTTTTTTATCAATGAAATGAGAGATATGTGGATAACTTTTTGTTGTCATTTTGTGAGAGAATCACAAGTGTGCTGATTAAGGCAATTAATTTAATCTTTTTTTTGTAGATATTACTGCTGGGTGTGAAGAAGTTATAGCTTTATAGTTTAATACCCCTAAAGACTAACTTCAAAGTTTTACTCCCTTAACACTAGATTTATAGTTTGACACCCCTAAACACTAGCTTCATAGTTTTACACCCTTTAATATTTGCTTCAAAACTTAATACCGCTTACTCCTCCTAACACTAGCTTCATAGTTTGACACCCCTTAATACTGGTTTCATAGTTTGACTCCCCTTAACACCAGCTACATAGTTTGACTCCACTAATACTTGCTTCATATTTGGACTCTTCTTAACACTAGCGTCATATTTTAGCACCCCTTAACACTTGCTTTATAGTTTAATACCCCTTAAGATTATCTTCATAGTTTAATACCCCTTAATACTAGCTTTATAGTTTAACATCTCCACCACTTTCTTCAAAGTTTGATACTTTTTAACAATAGCTTCATAGCTTTATCGTTTGATACCCTTTTAATACTAGTGTCTGACACCCCTGCAATTCCCAACATTCCTTCACCCCCAGTTGCCAATTTTTATCTCTCATCTTCCAAAACATCACCCGATACACGTGAACACTTCGAACTCTTATCATCTGATTCCAAAATCACAATAAATCACTCTTGATAAAACAATTAGTCTTGTTAAAAATATTTTGATAAATAGCAAATAAAACAGATCTCAAGAGTCAATTCAGTTTGAGTTTCACAATGAAACAAATTACTTTATTTGTGCTGATTATTTTAACATTTTCATTAACTCGATCAGACTATACTGATCCACACTGGCGGGCTGGACGTAGTGCTATGGTCCATCTTATGGACTGGAAGTTTTCTGATGTTGCGACTGAATGCGAGACTTTCTTGGCACCAAATGGATACGCTGGAGTGCAAGTATCGCCAGTTAATGAGCACAATATTTTTGATGATCAACGCTCATGGATGGAACGTTATGGACCAGTCAGCTACAATCTAACAACTCGATCAGGAAATGTCGCTGGATTTGCAGACATGGTAAGGAGATGCAATGCTGTTGGAATTCGAATTTATGTTGATGTTGTGTTCAATCATATGACTGGATCTGGAGTGTTAGGGTCTGGTGGAAATACAGCTGATCCTGTTAATCGTAATTATCCAGCTGTTCCATACACAAATGAACATTTCAACCCAAAATGTGATATAACTGATTGGACAAATGTGAATCATATCAGAAATTGTGAACTTTTTGGATTGCCTGATTTAAATCAAGGACATGAGCATGTGAGAACACAAGTTGCAGCCTTTTTGAATCATTTGATTGACCTTGGTGTTGCTGGTGAATGTTTTTTACGTTCCAACCTTAAAATTATGCAAAATAACCTCAAAATAATGCAGCATAACCTCAAATTTATGTAGCTCTACCTCAAATTTATGAAGCATAACCTCAAACTTTTCAAACATAACCTCAAAATATCTTTACATTTTCTAGGCTTCCGTGTCGACATTATGAAGCACATGTGGCCTCATGATGTAACAGCTATCTGGTCTCGCCTTAAGACTTTAAACACCAACCATGGATTTGCAGCAAACTCAAAACCATTTGTTGTCGGTGAAGTATCCGATGGTTATGATCTTGCACGTCATGGCTTCCTTGCTAGTGAATACTTCCATTTAGGGACTGTTACTGAATTTAGATACTCTGAGGAGATTTCAAGAGTTTTTAGCGGACGGGACTTGTTGAAATGGTTGCAGAGCTTTGGTGAGTATTTGACAAACAGTACCTGCATATGTACATCAAGGTCCACTGCTAAACATGTACAATAATTCTTAAATCTCTTTTACAGGCGAAGGCTGGTCATTCTGGCCATCAAAATATGCCTTAACATTCGTCGGTAAGTATAAAATTCCCAATAAAGCCATATTGAACCTAACCTAACCTATAAATTCCCACAGACAATCACGACAACCAACGAGAACCAGCAAAACAAATCTTAAACTACAAAGACGGACGCCTCTACAAAATGGCAACAGCATTTCATATGGCATGGCCTTACGGTGTTCCCAGAATCATGAGCTCATTCTACTTCACGACTTATGAACAAGGACCACCAATAGATGCTGCTGGTAACATTGTTGGACCATCATTTGATGCCAGCGGTCAATGTACAGTCGCATCAGGTTGGGTTTGTGAACATCGATGGCAACAAATTAAGGAAATGGTTAAGTTTAGAAATGTCGTGGCTGGAACAGCTGTCCTCAATTGGTGGGACAATGACTCTAATCAAATTGCATTTTCACGTGGCAATCGTGGATTTATCGCATTCAATGGACAATTTAATGTTAATCTAAGTGCAATATTACAGACAGGATTGCCAGCTGGAACCTATTGCGATATTGCCACAGGTTTAAAATCAGGAAGTTCTTGTACTGGTGGAACTGTCACTGTCGGCAGCGATGGACGTGCTGCAATATTTTTAAGTGCTCACGTTCCAGAAGGTTTTATTGCAATTCATGTCGATAGTCGATTGTGAATTTGATATTAAAATAATTTTTTTTTTAATTTTTTTGAAATTAAATTGAAAATCGTTTGGCGCGTTGCAGGAAAAAAATGATAAAATTTATTGCAATTTAATAAATGATTTTGTTTTATTGGTTGATTCTGATTGTTTTTAAAGCAACGACTTAATGTCAAGTTTGATTCTTAAGCAACGACTCAATTTCAAGTTGGATTCTAAAGCGACGACTTAATATCACGTTTGATTCTAAAGCGACGACTCAATGTCAAGTTGTATTCTAAAGCGACGACTCAATGTCAAGTTGTATTCAAAAGCGATGACTCAATGTCAAGTTGTATTCTAAAGCGACGACTCAATATCAAGTTGGATTCTAAAGCAACGACTCAATGTCAAGTTGTATTCTAAAGCGACGACTCAATGTCAAGTTTGATTCTAAAGCGACGACTCAATGTCAAGTTGGATTCTAAGGCAACGACTCAATGTCAAGTTGTATTTAAAGCGACGATTCAATGTCAAGTTGTATTTTAAAGCGACGACTTAATATCACGTTGAATTCTAAAGCGACGACTTAAGCAAATTTTTTATTATCAATTTTGGTCATCAAATTTTCAGGATTACAATTAAGTTTATGACATTTTAATCTGTATTCGATTGAATTTAAGGTTAATTGGTGTTTGTTAAATCTATTTTACACTTGATTTCTGCTTCTAATTCTCTCAAATAATCCTGATCTTGCTGATCTAACACCATTGTAGCAGGTCAAGTCGTCGAAATCTTGTGATACGCATCTATTTTGATTAATATCGTATTTAGCATCGGTTCCACATCGTTGAAGGTATGATCTTCCACCAGCACAGAAGAACCAAAAATCACACGATTCTGGATGTGGATGAGCAGATCCGTCAAATTTATCAGCACAGTTAAAATCAACTTGATCTGGAAGTTCAACGACTGGAAGCTGTCCATTAACCTGGAAGTAAAATTAGTAAATTTGTTATTTTATTTAAGATTAAAACACAAATATTGAACCTACATCACAAACACCATTTGAAGAATCTTCACAAAATCCAGTTGCAGGATTAAAATGACCTCCTAAATAACAATTATTTTGAATGACCCAATTATCATCAGAACAGATATAAAATGTTGCACAGTCCCTTGGATTAGCGACTTTTGGGAAAATTCCTTCGGTGTCTTCATTATGCTTCCTATTACAGAATTCAAAATCAGTTACACAGTCTGACTGTGATGGTTCAACACAGTCGTTGTGGAATTCAGAATAATGTAAACCTGTTTTACAAAGTCTGTCTTGCTGCATACCGTCGATGCATACTGAAATTATAAGAATTTTGGAGTTTTGAAGCAATTATTTAAATTTGAGTCAACGCTTTAAAGCGACGGTTAAGAATTGAGTAAACACTTTAAAATGACGATTTAAAATTGAGTCAACACTTTAAAGTGACGATTTAAAATTGAGTCAGCGCTTCAAATCATCAATTTAAAATTGATTCAACGTTTTAAATTTACGACTTAAAATAAAGTTTTGCTTTAAAACGACGATTCAAAACAGAGTCAACGCTTTGAAGCAACGACTTTAAATTTAAAAAAGACTTCTTCCCACATAATATTCATTATCTTATTGTCTATTATAAAAAACAATAAAAACTCACAAACATATTTAGAACACGTGTCAGGATGAGAAATCTTAGCAATTCCAAATGGTGGGCAGGTCGTGACTGGAGCATCATCAACACACTCTACGTTTGCTGAAAAATCACAAAGCTGCTTTGCATGGTTAAACAAGTAACCTTCAGGACATCGTCCCTCTCTTGGAGCTTGATTGATATTACATGTGAAGAACCAAGCACATCCTCGTGGATTTTTTGCATAATATGCTGTATCTGGGTGCCCATTGCATGGGTATGGACACGTATTAGTTGCTGATGTTGTTGACAAAAATATGAATAAAATTAATGAAAGAAATTTCAACATTTTAAGTGTCTTCCTTGTTTTTTGAATGTTAAAAATGAACTAACAAAGATTGACCGTGACGAAAATGACAAAAAGATCGTAATCAAAATGAAGGAAGTTGGGAATTTGGGAATCAAATCTTATCATGAACGTGAAATCAAAAAGATATCATTTTATCATGAGGATTAAACAAAATGATTTCATCGGAAAAGTTAATTTGGAGTAGTAAGTAGGGTTGTAAAAATAAATTAGTTTGTGAATAAATAAAAACAATGTTAAAGTAAAGAAGACGTTTAAAGTTTGAAATGGTTTAAAGAGCATTATAAAGTTTTTTTCTGATAAAATTTCTGATTAGTTGTTTACCCCTTTTGACTAGTTGCGTTCCCTTTTGACTAGTTTTGTCCCCCTTTTGACTATTTTTTCCCCCTTTTAACTAATTGTGTTCCTCGTTTAACTAGTTGTGTCTTCCTTTTGACTAGTTGTGTCCCTCTTTTAACTAGTTGCGATCCCCCTTTTAACTAGTTGTGTTCCCCTTTTAACTAGTTGTGTCCCCCTTTGACTATTTGTGTCCCTTTATTGACGTTATAAAAATAATGAAGTTTAAAAACAAAACAAAATTAAATCTGAAAATCTGAATTAAAATTGATTTTTTAAATGCTTTGTTTTAAGCGTCCACAGTTTTAATTTTTTTAACTGACCATATTTTTCGTTTCATCTTTTTAACTTAAAACGATTCCGAACGAAAAACTCATGAATAAATTTCTTTAAAATATAATTGCATAATTCTGATTTTTTTTACTATTTATTACAAAACAATTACAATGAAAATCTTGTCGGAAATTAATAATTAAAAATTAAAAGCTTAAAAAGTGACACGAGCCACACGAAAATCCTCATCTGAATAAGTATTGACGATGAAAATCATTTCAGAATTTTACTAAGTGTCTAAAAACCTCACATAAGTGCAGCCTAAGGTTATTCTAGTCATTATCACAACAAAAACAAAGCATTTAACCTTGTTTAAAACACAACGGAGCACTTTCTAATGAAATTTCCATAAAATACAAAATTATATTGCAATGTCGGATCGATCATGAGTTCCTAGTTCCTTAAAAATAGTTGTATTATAATTGTGGAGAGAATAGAAAGCTAATTTTAAATTAGTAATTTATAATGGCTGTTAGTCATAAACGTGCTTAATAGTCAAATAACATCGTGATTAAATTTAGGTGGACTTCCTTAATATTTTCATGGTTTTGATTCATCTTTTAGATTCACTTTTATTAAATTTCTAAATAAATGTGGACGCCTCATTTATAGTTTTACCTCATTTTCATACTTAAGTACCTCTCATTCGTAGTTGCGTACCCCTATTAGTGGTTGTATACCCCTTATTTGTAGTTTAGTACCCCTCATATATTATTGTACACCCTTCAACCTTAGTTTAGTTCCGCTCATTCATAGTTGTGTACCTCTTATATCATAGTTGTGAGCCCCTTCATTAATGGTGTTATGCCCCTTATTCATTGTTGTGTACCCCTGATAAATAATTTAATTTGTTTATTGATAATCTCATGCCCCTCAATCATAGTCTTATCCCCCTTAATTAAAGTCATTTGGCCAAAGTGGCCTTCATCTCCGACCATCTTTTAAAAATTAACAAGATTTCCAAGAAAACGTATGCGAACTATCGCAAACAAAAAACACACATGACAATGATCTCATCCAAATTAACTGATATCTTAAAACTACAATCTTATCAAAAAGGAAGAATAATAAAATAAATCTCAGCTTTTCTTCATCGATTAGATTAAATTCTTCAACTGTTTTTACCATCTTTTAAAATTATTTCAGTAAATTTTTGAAACTTTTCGAGTCAACAAGAACATCTTTTTTTATTTAACTGAGTCAAATTTATTTAAAATGTGGAGTTTCTTTCTCATTTTATCAATTTCATTATCTATCACACATGCAGAAGAAAGTGTTAATCCGTGTGATAGTTTGACAGCAAATCAAACTTTCGCAATTAATCCACGAGGATGTGACATGTACTACTATTGTGGAGATAATAACATCCCAAAACCTGGTCGATGTCCAACAGAGCCTGTAGTTCATCATTTTGATATAAATAACCAAAGTTGTGAACTTCCTGAAGACGTAGTCTGCACAATTGATGATGAGTTATGGAACACAAAGTGTCCTGGCATTGGGATTGCTAAGATTCCACACGAATATTCATGTTCGGAGTATTCAGGTGAGAAATTATCGGTATTTTCATTATTTGAATATTCAAATCTAGTGTAGAATAGTTCTTAGCTACTAGTAATCCTCGATACCTTTTCTCTTATTCCTCTTTTTCTACAAATTATCAACTTATTCGTTTGAATCAGTCTCTTCTCGTTACCCTCTTTTTCCCACACCTCCTTTCCTACCCCTTACAAACTTATTCATCACCTCTTCTTCCTTGCAAATTTTTTCTACCCCTGTTTTCATAAAATTTCTTACGTTTGCATTTCTATGCTCCTCCTTGCTTTTCTTTATTCCATTTTCTTTTTTTCAACTTCTTCTTCCATACACCTTTTCCTACCCTTGGTTTCCTACCCCTGTTTTCCTACCCCTAATCATCGAGTAGCTCAGCTCAAATCCTTTATAACTTCTTTACCAAAATTTCATTAATAAAAATTTCTAATATTTATTTCAGTCTGCCTTGATGATCAACCAGTCGATCGCACATGTCCCGCTGGTCTTCACTTTTCACCTCACGACCAAGAATGCCTGCATCCTGAAATCGCAAACTGTAAAACTGATGAATTAGTTTGCAAGGGATCTGATCCTTTTGTTCCAAATTACATTCCAAATTCAAGAAATTGCAGAGCTTTTTACATCTGCTTCAACAATATTTTACATCCAGTCTCATGTGGACCCAATCAGGTGTATGATAAAGATAATAATCAGTGCGTGCCATCCGGAGTTGTTGATTGTGTGGTGAGATCAATGATTAATTTAAAGTTTAGAAATGTTAATTAATTTCAAAAATTTACTTTAGCAAACTTTAAACCCAGACCTAGAAGTTCCAGATTCCCTAACCTATGACTGCTCAAGTGTCAAGAACGGATCACGACTTCCACATCCAGAACATTGTAAATTCTGGTTCTGGTGCGTTAATGGACGTTCTCAAATGTTTTGGTGTGGCAAAGACGCCTTGTTCGATTCCCCAACAAGATTATGTGCTGAGCAAAATCAAACAGTTTGTGGCAACATCAATGCAAGTGCAGGAATAGAACTTCATGATCTCTCAGATCAAATGGAATACAAAGTAATGCCTGAAAGTAAACATGTGGTTCATTTCTCAGTGATACAGCCTAAATTGGGTGTCTTGCGTTCGATAAAAGCTGTACAAGAAGAGGAAATTAAAGTCAGTGATGAAACTAAGCCTGAGAAGTTTTATGGATTATTTTGAGATTTATTAAACAATTTTTTAAATTTATTTCAAAAATAAAATACAACAAAAAGTTATAAAATTATATAAAAATGTCAAGCCTACCGCAAAAATGAAATAGAACTGTAAGAATTATTCCAAAATAAAAGTAATTTTAGAAAACAATAAAAAGTTTAAAAATGTCAGTAAGGAACGACTTGTGGCATGGTCAGTAATTTTTGGACTAGGTCCGACTCCTAATCCTCTATTGAGATTCATTTAAGTGCCAAAAATTCTTCGACATCCTTAGCAGTGACTTTAACATCAAGCACCAAATCGCCACCATTGTTATAAGAATCATTTTGGAACTCCAAAAATCCATCAAATCTATAAATGCCATTGACTTTCTTAAATCCATCTAGATTTTTTGGCTTAAAAAGCCGATGATTTTGCTTCATTGCTCCCGATTCAGAGGAATCAATTATAATTTCACTGCGATAAAATCTCATGCCACTTCTGGTTCGGTCTGTATCCTTGATGTCCAATTGATAGTAAAATTTCGTAGCTAGCGAATCGTAGAATGATTCTGATTTAACTGGTGTCGAAAATAAAGTCAGATTCCACGAGACGGGAATTTTTTCAAACTTTATAGTTTGTGATGTGACCTTGTCGAAATACAAATTGTAATAATCTGAAATAAAAGTTAAAAAATTAATTAATTATTTTATTTTGATTTCAGGCGGTGTTTTGGGGTCTGAAAAGCCTATTAAAACTTAATAAATCAAGCAATGTTAAAGTTAATTAAGCCAAAGTCGATAACATTAAAGTGTATAGCTAATGACTACGTTCCGGCTTGATTTGCTACCACCAATGGTAAAACAACTTGTTGGCAAAGCTTTAATGCTCAAAAATAACCTTTCATAAAATTCCAGCACTTCCTAGCATTACAAAAATCTACTATTAATGGTTAATAGCTTAGCAGTCGTCTTGCATCTCAAAACACCGAATAAATCAAATGAAATACAAAAGAAAGTAAAATCCGTAAATGAATTCAAAAATTAAGAGACAAAAGGCAAATTGAATGCCTGAAACCTTAAAAAACAAAAAAGCAACAAAATGTATAGAAACTTTATACATACTTAAATTTAAATGTAAATAAATAAAAAGTTTAATTTAAAAAAAAGGTTAAAAGCTTAGTAGCTTGGATATGAGCTGGAATTTTTTAAAACGCTAATTTCATGCTTATACGCCATTTTTAATGAAAAATTCCCAATCATGGAGTTTTCCCTTTTCTAAAATTTTAATTCGACTCACCTTTGAACTTCTTGATCCTTATTTTTGTAGAAGAAACATGGAATTGTTCAGCCAATGAGAAAGTTTGCTCCATTTTAACAGACTTGTTTGTAATTTTTCAGCACAGTTAAAAATTAAGTTTGAAATGATTCTTAGTGTGATGACTAAATTGATATAACTTGTTGAATTATTGATCTAGCTTTATATAGTCCTTTGAAGTGAGATTTGTGGGAAACTTTTGAGATATGTCAACATTAGGAAACTCTTATGGCTTGAATTGGAATTTAAGGGGCTAGTTATAAATGACGTCTATGAAAAAACGAAATCTATAGAATCTCTCTCTCTCTCTCTCTCTCTCTCTCTCTCTCTCCTCCGCCTGAAAATGTTAAAAATTGATAACCCATAATCATCATAATTAATAATTTGGATGTCACAAATTTAAACGTGACATAATTTAAGAACCTCGTCTCTTAGTTAAAAAGGGTTTTGTTGATAAAAAATGATAAGTTTTTGAATTGAATTTATTTTAAATAGTTTTATTTTATTTTTGATTATTTAAAAAGAAAATTTTCTTAATTCTAAGATTAAGCAGTTAAGTGCCTTGCTGGTCAAATAGGTAAGGCGCTTGGCTCAAATTTGGGATGGTAACTCTAAAGTCGTCGGTTCGAATCCAGCCATTTTTCAAATTTGTTCTTTTTCGGAAGTTTAGATACTTCGACTGCATAATGTAGGAGATCAAGCCATAATTGGGCATTTGGGCAACGTTGGATTAAGGAACGGATCTGGAACTTGAAGGGTAGCGGGAGAAATAGGAAGGAGAGCTACAAGATTACCCACGAATGGAATATTGTTAAAACAGACCTGAAAAGTATCACGTCACGCCTACAGAAGATCGAAACGAGAGCCTTAGTTTATTTGAAACCTAGATTTGAAGATTAGCAGTTATATCCTACATAATATTAATTCATGTGTGTACAAATGCAAAAGTGTAAAATGTGAATTATTACCGGAAATTCAAATAAATTTCTATTTATGCTCTTTCATGTTATTCTGTAAAGATGAAGGGTTTGAAGTCAACCACCTTCCTCCCCTCCCCTCTTCATCGGTCTCTAGATTTTAGTAAACTTTTCTATTGCTTCAACAACTTTGCTATAACCTTTACAATAAGAAGCAAATCAAGACCTTTGTTATAATCTTCTGGCTCAATAGCAAAACATCCTTCTAAAATTTTGTCTACTTCTTGATAATCATGCTTCATTTTTTTATCATCGAATTCTATTTCAGTACAAAAAAGTATTTTTCTATTGACGCTCAATTCGTTATTTTCAGATTGAATTTCTAATGAATAACAAAGAATTATTCTGGAGTCATAATCGTTGTTTTCTGGTTAAGTGTGAACATTTAAACTCCACTAAGCATTAAATTCAACATTTTATATTTTTTGTGATAATTTTGTCAAATTTACAATTTTAGGAATCTGAATAATTAGAATTTTAACACTTGAAACAAAAATCATAGATTTTAATTGATCTGTAAGTGAAAAAATGTTTAAAAAAACAATTCATTTTTTTAAATTAAGTTTTTGAATATTTATTTGATAATTGCAACATTAGTAAATTAGTAAATAAAGGCAACAATTAATTGTCATGAAATGTTAATGAAATTTAAAAATTAATAATTAAGTCAACACATAATTCAGCAATCAGCCACAACACTCTTGCATGAATTCCCTCTTATAGCTTCTTAGCAGAATCAACAACCTCAGCAGTCTTCATCCAAACATTAACAATAATAACTAAGGCATTGCCATCTAAGTACGATGGTGCATTAAAGCAAAATCCATCATCATGAACAATTTTACTTCCATCCGTGATTTCCTGGTAATCAAAAAGTTTTGTGTCTGGCTCATCATTAAGTGTCAAATGCTTCAGCTTTATATGATGATGACTATGATGATTATTAACTGGACTTGGAGTCTGTTTGTGCTCGGAATGTTCAAGTTTGACTTCAGCTTTAAATAACTTTTTACTGTGAATAGTTTTGGATGTTTGTGGCTTCTTATCCTCAATGACAAGCTGGAATCCAACATATTTATCATCTCTGGAGAACATCAAGATCTTTTCAGCACGCATCAGGACTTTAAAATGCCATTCTATGTCTAATCCATCAAACTTAACAGTTTGCGATGTCAGTTCCGTTATGTTACATTCATCGTACTCTAAAATATTTTTTATTTTTAATTTTTAATTCATTTTTTAATAATTGATAAATTTTACCAGTAAAATTCTCAATCTTCAGCTTCAGTGTTGTGTTAAAGACTTTTGTGGCCAACGCGAACTTTTGCTCCATAATTAAAATAATTAAAATTAAATAAAAAAAATATTAGAAAGTTTGTTTTGATAACAAGAAATACAACAAGAGCTTCTGGAATGTTAAAATTGTGTTGTGTAGAAGTTTAGATCGTCACTGAACCTGTTGGCGATCGTTTGACACTTGTCGATGGACAAGAAAATTGGTTGAAAAGAGAATTGAAGAATTATTTTATTGTCTGGATTTTAAATTGGAATTGGGTCAATTATTTGCGAATGTTTTTGTTTTTGAATTTTTTGATTACTGGAGCTGGATATGATTAATAATAACTCTGCTAATTAGTTTGTGATTATATTTTGAGCTAAATTTACTTTATTTTTATTATTTTTATATTTTTATATTCTAATTTTTTTAATTCTCAATTTTACGGTGCATTGATATTGCTTGTGAGCTGAAAAGGCTCAGTGGCAGAACGGTTTAGTACTTTGGTACCAAATTATTGCAATACCAACAAAGCGATCATCGGTTCGAGACTGGGTATGGGAAATTTTTATTTGTCCTTTTACGAATTATATGCACTAGAAATTAAGCTCACAGCCTTCTTTTGTAGGCTTAAGGCAGAAATGCCATCAAAAGAGTGGTTCGGATCCCACTTAAAATTGTAGGTTTAGGTTTAAGTGCAGTGGTTTGGCACAACTTCACTCGTTAAACTCTCATTAGCTGCGAAACGCTCACAATTGATTTGAAAAAGTAAAGGTTTTTTTTTTAATATTGCTTATATAAGTGCTTCGAGTTGGGGTTTGAAAGAAGAAAGCAAACCTATTAAATCAGTGTTGTCCAACCTTTTTTGTACCACGGCCCCTTGGTTGTAAGCAATGACCGAATACCCGAAACACTAGCGAGCCGCAGCACATGGGTTGGGCATTACTGCCTACATTTAAAGTCGTTATTTATGGTTTTACGTTTTTTCTTAACCACAATTTGCAATTCTAGACTAGAAAGCCTCGGAGAGCCTAGACACTTAATTGATAGTGTTGTAATAAAGCTTTGGTGGGTCAGTGATTAAATATTTATTTTTTTGAAAATATATTTCATTTTTTGGTGCATTTCAGTTAATAAATAAAAATCTTTAAAAAATCAAAAATTCTATTAAATAGTCAAATAATCTCAAATAAAAGGCAGTGAAAGATTCTTAAAGTTTAAGAAATAATTGACCTTATTGATGATGATGACTGTCCTTAATTGTGTTGATAATTTCAACAGTCTTCATCCAAACGTCAACGAAAATTGTCATTCCACCGGCATCCAAATACGAATAAAACTTGTCTTCAGGAAATGTAAAAACTTCTTCAAAAAACATTTCATGACCAATTTCTTGATAATCGAGAACTTTAACGATCGGTTCAACCATGTCTGGTTCCGCATAAATTCCTCTGGACTTAACAATATGACGATTTGCTGGTGACATGAGATGATGTCCAAAAGGATCAATTTTAATTTCAGCTTTAAAGAGCCTCTTGGCTGGAAGTTTTGAGTCTTTATCCTGAATATTAAGCTGGAATCTAAAGAACTTCTGATGTAAGTCTGGATCGGTGTCGTACATTTTATCAATCTTTGGGTGAATTTTAAGGCTCCATTCGGTATCAATCTCTTCAAAATTGACTGTTTGGGATGACAGCTCAGTTATGTTGCATGCCTCGTAGTCTGAAATTGAGGAAATGATGAATGAGAATAGTTTTGGGATTAATGTTGATTGATGAGAAACTTTTTGGTTTCAGATCATTAGTTTTGAATGATTTTAGAGTTGTTTTGTGATTTAAAGCAGTTAAGTTGAACATATGGCGATAGATTTGCTTAGTTTTTACTCAAATTTGATTAAATAAATTTAAAATTGACGACAATTTCAAAATTATTGTCTAAAATTCAATAAAATTGCCACCAAAACAATAATAAATTACAAAAACGTCAAGAAATTCCAGCAAAATTCAATTTTTCTTTCAAAACTTTCACAATTTTCAATCAAAACTTTAAAATTCAAAATTTTTTTAAAATCCTAAATTCTTACCAAGAAAATTCTCAATTCGCCATTTCAACGATGATTCGTAAACATGTGTCCGCAAAGTGGTGGTCTGCTCCATTATTGTTAAAATTGAAAATTTAAAAATTACTTAAAAGTTTTAGAAAAAATAAATAAAAATGATAATCGACAAGAAAAGTCTGATCTTTGTTATTGTTTTGGTTTGACTAGTTTGGCTGATTAGCTTCTAGAATTGTAGAAATTTTGGGGGTGCAGAAGTTTGTGTCTTTAGCGATGATGATTGACTGAGTGAATGGCTGGTGAGGTCGATTAGTAAATTGGATAAACTTTTTATTGAAACTTTAATATTTTATTGATTAAAAGTTTTTAGAATTCTGGTAAAAAAATATTCAAATTTTTTTGTTGTAAAAGATTTGAAAATTGAATTTTTAGAAGACGTTATGGAAATTTTGGTTTTAGCAAAAAAAGAAGAATTTTTTTTCATACTTTTACAAAAGGCTTGCTTATAAATTCACGTATTAAACTTAAAAACTCATTTATCATTTAATTCATGTAATTGTTTTTTAAAAATTTTTTTTTAAATTCTAATATTAACGATTTTTTAAAATTTAAAATTTATTGAGTCAAGTCTTATGTTATGAAAAAAACGAGCTATACCACTACAAAAAGATAAATTAATTTAATTAACAAACTAGATGATATTAAATATACAAATATGTTGACAATCACATTGTCAATTGGCAGGAATCGATTGCAATAAACCAGAAGTCCGGAATTGCTTTCTTCTTCAGGTTTTCAAGCAGCCAGCCAATCAAAGATTCCATTCTTATCCACATAAACAAAAACATAGACATAAAATTACTAAACCTAAGATTACACCAACAATTAAGCCAATAATTAAACCAACTACAAAACTAGCAGACGAAAAAGTAATCACAGCTTCTGATTCATATTCTGATTGCATCATTGCATAATGTCTACATAGTGAGTCACTTGTCTTAACATAAACATCAAAATCTTCTGCTTGAAGCTGTGCAAAAGTTATATTTCGCTTTATAGCTTCGTGGTTTAACATTTCGATAATGCATTTTACATGTTTTGGTTCCTCTGGATATTTTGCACCTAAATCGTCAGATACTTTTTGTAGCTCTTCTGATGGGATAATGTTACAGACACAAAACTGAAGAGATGCAGCTACACATAAGATCAACAGATATGATTTACTGCTGAAAAAATAATATTTTTGAATTGAATTTTAATTAAGAATTGATTTTCTTACTTCATTTTTGAGTTTGAAGTATTTTGAAGTTTTAGTTCTGACACAACTGCCTTAATCTTATTAATTTAAGACTTTTTTATTTAAAATAAACTAGCTTTTTGGAAAAAAGGAACAAATAAAATTAATTTAAAAAAACTTTTGTTAAAATTTCTGTCTGATTTCCAAGATAAATTTATTGACTCTGATTAAAAATATAAAATTTTATCAATATTATCAATGTTATCACTTGGGAGGCGTTCATTTATTACGTAACATTAAAACCGATTTTTTAAACTCATTCCTCTGCTTTTTTCAAAATGTGTATTTTTGGTTTGAACCTTAACAACTCTTTAGACTCCCTTTCCTTACGAGCGTTACGTATTAAGGAAATGGCCCCAATAGGAGCTGTTCATAAATGACGTCTAGTAAAAAAAGAAATTTTCCGACCCTATTGTATCACAAAATGTGTTTTGAAAAAAGTTTTCTTTGATTAAATTGTCACAAAACTCTAGACCCCCACCCACTTAAATCTTGGATGTCATAAGTGAACAAACCCTAATCAAAAAAAAAATTTAAAAAAAATTGTTTATCTTATTTAAAGAAAATATCAATTTTTTTAAAACAAAAAACAAAAAATTGAAAATTTTCTGAAATGGTTCAAAAAATTAAACAAAGTTTGATCAAAACTTAGGAAAAATGCTAAAATCAGACATTTTTTATAATCAAATAATTAAGAAATTAAACAAATTTTAAACTATTGTAAAACTTATTTTAGGTATTATTAAAAATTACACATCCAAGCAAACACACACGCAAATATTAAACCTAAAATTACACCAACAATCAAACCAAGAACCAAACCAGATGCAAACCCAATAACAGGAATAAAAATATCCTCAGTTTCTGATTCATTGTCTAATTCCATCATAGCATAATGTCTACACATTGTGTCCCTTGCCTTTACATTATCATCCAAATCTTCCTTTTGTAGTTCAGCTAAAGTTATGTTTCTCTTTATAGCTTCGTGATTTAACATTGCAATGATGCACTTAATATGTTTTGGTTTCTCTGGAAATTTTGCATTTAAATCTTTTGATAATTTTTGAAGCTCTTCTGATGGAATAATGTTGCAGGAACAACATGAAAAAGTTGCGATCGAACAGAAAATTAACCAGAATTTACTGTAAAATTTGATTAATTTTATTGAATTGAAGGAAAAATGAACTAAATTGATATTCTTACTCCATTCTAGATTTTGTATGATTTTGGAAAGTAATACAATTGATTCCGCCAATAAACTAATAAACTCTGAATGAAAATGAAAAAAAAGAAAAACAAATTGTTATCACACGTTATCCGTGTAAAATGTGTGTGCGTAAGTGGTCATTGTTATTAGGAGCGTATAACATTATGTTTTTTAAATATGAATGAAATTTGAATTTTCGTCCTATGAATCTTAAGCAACTTAAGCATTTTTTGGGTTTCCTTACTTTGATTTTGTAACAGAAAGAATCTCGAAAAAGCGGAACAATCCCGCATTTTGAATCTAATTCTTTAAAAAAATTATGATTGGGATAGTTGAAGGGTGTGGAACTGATCAAAATTAAACAGTCTTGTTAAATATCGGGACTTTGTTCAAAATTGAAGCGGTGAAATGGCATCAGTGGCCTAAATGGTAGAGCGTTGGCCTTATGTGCCAAAGGTCCTGGGTTCAATCCCAGGCCATGTCTAATTTTCGAAGCTCTTTTTCCATTTCACCGTTCTAGTTACGAAGCTCGGTTCGTGTGCTGGGTGTAGTTTTGAAGTCTTTGGCACATAATGTGCCTCCTTTGCTAGGTATACAAGGATATACTAGCATCTGGATGACTTCCTTACGGCATCTTGCGCACACGGATTGTGACTAGGTACATTGCAGGATACATCATGCCTTATGACGTACTCGTGTATTTGCAATGAGCAGAGCTTGCAAGTGGTTCGGATCCCACTATAAACTGTAGGTCTAAAGGGTGTGGTACAAAAGATTCTGTTCTAATTTGAGTCGCAGTGCCTCCAGCTGAAAGACTGGGCCCTTCACACATTATTATTATTATTATTGTTCAAAATTGCCCGCCTAGAAGTTTTCAATCGGACAGTCTATACAAAGGCGGAGTCAATTTATGGAACAATAAAATCAACGGATATGGCATAATGATACCCTGCATATAATATTCACAATATTACAATAATGCTGTAGTTTTTGATGAGAATCTATCCAGAATCGATGGTTGAAAGAAGTTATAATGTATAAAGTAAAAGTCTTGATTGATTATCTTGAAACTTGTCTTGAAACTTATCTAAATTGAAACTCACATAACATAACATTTGACATGCGTTCAGCTAGTGCCATACACTCGTTTGTTGACTGTGTTAAATGATTTCGTACTTCGGCAGCCCGATGTTCCGAAAAAGGAAGCAATCTCATAATTGCATTGACCGGCAATCGAGAGGTGCAAATTTCGATGCCTGCACGGAACGAACCATTCCGTGAATTTCTTTTTTTCAACAATTTTTAATATTTGCATGTAACAAGCAAAAAACTTGATGAACATTAAAGTTCTTACATTTAGTAAGCTTATAAATTTCATCAAACCACTTATAAGCTTTTCATAGATATGACACGACTTCATTAATTTTACCTTCACTTATGCTTCCACAATAGTTCATCAATCTTTTTTAGCAGCTAGTATCTTTTGTGCATCAATTTTGTGACACTCACAACTTGCATCAGATTTTGACGCAAATTTAAAACCATAAAATTCAAGGAATTCCAGGAATTAAGGAAGTTCAAGTTAAGTGAGATTTAATGTTAAGAACTAGGATTAAAATAAATCCTAAGAATTTAAGCATTTGAATTTTTTAACGCATTTCAATGTAAACAAAAACTGAACGTATCCCAAAAGAAGAAACAAAAATCTTCAAAAATTAAAATCAAAAAGTGGTTTTTATCAATAAATCTATTAAGATGAGTGCATTTATACATTTGTATAATATGTATGAGGAAGAACTGTATTCCAATTGCCACAATTTAGCTCAATTTTACTTATCTAATCCAGAAATGTTTAATGTAACTCCTGAAATACTTATTGTTGTCTACATTATTAATGGAAACTCGTGAGTAAAATACATCAATTTACAGCTATCAACTTTTAATTTATATTATTTTTAAGGCTATGGGAAATGAAGCACTACACAGAATCTCAAAAGCAATACGAGGAAGCGCTCTTATTAAGAAAGGCTTTAATAGATCCAGTAAATATTAATTACACCAAGGATGTCAAGGATCAGTCAATAATACTTGGTGTAATTGAGAATTTTAATGAAAGTGAATTAAAATATCGAATTGCAAAGTGTCAAGTTGAGAATCAGCAGGCAAAAGAAGCTTATTCAATCTTACAGTCAATTCCAAAGCCTCGACCAGCGAAGGTAAACTTTATGATGTGTAAAGTAATACAGCAATGTGAATCAGGAAGCGATAAGAATTTAATAACTTTATATAAGGAAGTGCTGAAGAAATGTCCACTAGCTTTTGAATGCATTGATTCACTGCTTAATTTGGGAGTTAAAGGAAATGAAGTAAATTCACTGATTATTAATACAACGTCCGCAGAAGGATCTAATTTTGAATGGCTGCATCTTTATATTAAAGGACTGTCAGACATCAATAATAGGAAGCATGCTGAAGCTATAAATACGCTCTTGTCAATTGAGTGCTTAAAATCTAATCCAAGAATATTAGCATTGATTGGCGAAGCTTTATACTTTTCTGGAGATTATGAAAGTTCATATCAGTATTTAAAAAGATCTTATGACATTTATCCATTCATGAAGCAAGGCATTCAAAAGTATGCACTTCTTTGTGATATGTTTAAAAAGCCTAAAGAACTAGAACTGATGCTCAGGCCATCATCATTATTTCCTTATGAATATTCATCAACTAATTGGTTTGTCTTTGCGACTTATTTATTTTGTTCCTTAAAACTTGATAAAGCACAGTATTTTATTAATCGTGTGCTCTCATCACATCAGTATAAGAATGTTGATGGATTAATTCTTAATGCTAAAATCCTGCATGGAAATAAGAAGCCTAATGAAGCACTAGTAAGCCTTAGAAATGCACTTAAATATGAGCCGTATCGTTTTGAAGTTCATCGATGGATTATTGAAATTTTAATGGCAACCGATAAAGGAAAAGATGCACAGAATCAAGCGATAAAAACTTTAAAGCTTCTTGGTGAGAGTCCAAGAACATTAACGATTGCAGCATCGACATTCCTTAAAAATCCAATCAGCAAGGAAAAGGCAAAAATTTATCTATATAGAGCACTGGAACTGAATGAGTTTTACGTTAAAGCTGTATTCTTTTTAGCTCAAATCTTGATTGATGACAAGGAAACAAAAGCAGCTATTGTGCTGCTTGAAAAGACATCTTCAGTTGTGTCTAATATTAAAATAAGCTTGATGCTAGCTGATTTATATGCAAAAAGTAAGAACCTATCGTCAGCACTAGAACAATACACAAAAGTTCTCAATTTAGACTCGAATAATCGACATGCAATGAATGGAATAATGTCGTTAGGGACGACATCAAGTAATTCTCTTGAAACAACTGCTGACGAGGATTTTGAAGCTGTAGAAAATACACCGAGGAATAAAAGTGATGAAACGAATGAGGACGAGCTGATTTGGTCTGATATAGAAATGGAAATTAATTAAAATTGATTTTTTTTTATGTTAATAAAGTTTTTGTTTAATATTTTAAAGCTTTTGGTGCTATTCAGGCGCGTAGCCAGGAGGGTCTTATGGTTCAAAACGTTTAAAGGGGAAGAGAGAGACAAGACCTTCTTGGCTACACGCCGGGTGCTATCTATTCATTTTTTAAGGCTTTTAGCAGAAATAACGGTTACTTGAAGTTCAAAATTTCAAATATTATTCAACCGTTATTTTTTAAAGTTCAAAATTTTTATTTCTTCTTGAAAATAATAAATTTTTCAATAATATCCTAAGCTTCAACCGTCCTCGTTGGATGATATCCTTGAACCCTCTTCCTTACATCTTCATCTCTGAATAATTGACACAATGACAGAATACAAACTAGTGAATAAATGAGATAAATTCCAAATGGAATGTATTGCCAATTTAAAAGGACAAGATTCATGACGACTGAGATTATGACAAGGAATGATGAGATCAGCGATGGAAAGACGACTTTTGTGTTGCGCTACAAAGATTGAAGAATAACGATAAATTGAGTGATTCATGTTGTTATGATTGGTTCTTACCTTGCTGGTTCCAATGATTAATGTAATTGATGTGATTAAGTAAATTGTGAATACAACAATTTCAGCACCGGATACTGTGAATAAGACTGGAAAATACATGATTAATTCATATGTTCATTGGTTTTTAAATGGGGATAATGATAAGTTCGGGGTGGAAGGGGGGTTAATTTTTTATGATTTTTTCAGAAAAACCTAAGCAAAATGAAGAAATGTCTGTTAAGGTAAGATGAATTTTTTTCCCAAATCCCCCCTGGTCAAGCGCCTGTTTCATGACATCGGGTTCAAAGACTTAGGGTAGTCTTAACAACAGCCAGGCACTGTTATCATAAATTCTAAGAAAAAAATATCTTATCGGTTCAATGAAACATATTTTGTAAAGTAAACAGAATGTAATTCAATAACTAGCAATTAATTTTACAATAATTTATTGCGCACTGATAAGAACATTTTTCCGTTGATATCCTCAATTAAACCAGCGTTTCTGAGCATTACAAGAACCAATTTTAAGACGAATTAACGCAAGTTTAGCGTCAAGCATGAACCACGATTGGAATATTCCAGAGATTGAAGTCGATTTTTTCGGCTTAACTCAATTTTTGATTTTTTGATAGAAAAAAGCCATTTATCACCCATTTCATGTATTTAAATTGCTTTACTATGATTCTGTGTAATATTTTGTCAGCATGTAGCTATAGTGAGCTCAGAATTTCAAATTAGCCGATGCCAGGGGCGTAGCCAGGGGGGGCATAGGGAGCCCGGGAAGTGATGAAAGAAATGTCAAAATCAGCACGAAAAATGAAATTTAATGTATGAATAATGAATTAAATATTTAAACTTATGAAGAATGAATATAGATTTAAGGATACAAAATAACGGTTTTTCAATTTTCTAAGCCGATGCTGACAAAATATTACACAGAATCATAGTAAAGCAATTTAAATACATGAAATGGGTGTTAAATGGCTTTTTTCTATCAAAAAAAAATCAAAAATTGAGTTAAGCTGAAAAAATCGGCTTTGATCTCTGGAATATTCGTTGATTTTTGGTCGATTTTGATTATTTTTGATCACATTTGATCAGTTTTGCATCCTTGTTCTGACTATAATAACCTATAAGGGCTGTCTCTTTAATCATTTTGAAGTTTGTGTCCACAATTTTTGACAGAATATTCACAAATTTGAATCAAAAACCTCCAATCACATTCATTAATACAGAAATTCTACAATTTTATCTCAAAAATCCAGCATTAAGTCGATAAATTTTCTCTTAAAACTCACTCATATCATTAACATGCAACATGTGATATCCAGCAAGTGCAATTAAGCCTGTGCTAATGAACAATCCAAAAAATCCAATCGCGTAACCGCCGGTTGGAAGATCAAAACACAAAAAATTATTAACAATTGGCATTTTGGTCGATGAATCAAGCTTGTAAGTTCCTCAAAGTATAAAAATAAACTGAACAATTCATAAAAATTTTACTTGTAATTTTTTTCTATTCTTTTTGTTTCGTTATCTTTGGCTTCTTTGATAACTCTTGTATTGCTTGTTTGAAGTTCACACACCTTTTTGGATGTAGGCTGTGTAAATGATTATCATTTGAAGGTATTGCTGATAAGATATGAAATTTGGTAGATATGAAATCGAGCATGTTTGGTGTGCTAAAGAGAGTTATGTTGTGAGTTTTGTGTTTAATAAATCATCTTAGTGTTAGTAGCGCCATCTTTGTTTGAACATTTTGGATAATTTTGTGTATGCAAAACTGCTATAATTGCTTCAAAAAGGAGTATTGAACGATAGCTCATAAAAATTCAAATTATGCTTATTTTGGTTTAATAAATGTTAAAATGGGTCAGTCAAGAGTTCTAGCCTAGTTTTTAGGACTAATTAGGGAACCTTACCCAAAAACTACATTAATTCTGCACTAAAATAATCGGACTATTCTTCAGGAGCTAAATTAGCTTTAGAAATCCACCCTGATGCTGTATTTTACCTCAAGGTAATCATCAAAGTCTACGTTCATTGGTCAGAGTGGTCTTAGGATGGCAATGAGCATAACTCATTAAAGTCATCAATTTTAAAAACTCTAAAGTTTGCTAAGAGGTCTAAGATAAGTTGAAAGTTGGCCTCGTTAATAATTAGTGTTTAATTCCTAATCTTAGAACAGCTATGTGCAAACTCTTTAGTTATCTGTGACCAGTCCCAGTTGAAAATAAAAAAAAACACCTCCAGAAGCTTCGGTTGTTCTCACATCAGCTACTTTTTCTTAAAATTATTCTCACAATTTATTCCAACAATTTTTCATGTGGACAACAAAAGAAATTTTTTCCTCCCATCCAAACAACAACGTTCATATTCATACATGCATCCTCTTCCATTTCCATTACAATTGCTTTCAGAAAACTTTTTTTTTTAAATCTACATATGAAAAAGAACGAGCCAAGAAGAAAAAGATAAGAAATGAGCAAAGAAAGACAATGCAGCATACGAAAAGGAGGAAGAAGCGAGGAGAAAAAATGAGAATCCATTAAGAAGTAGCAAAAAAATTGTGAATTAGCAACAAAAAAAGAAGGAAAAGATAAAAAAGTTCATCGCAATAAAAATTTGTGGAAGAAAAAGTTTTCAAGCTTACAAAAAAAAAGAGTGAGACAAATGTGAATTTTTGGTAAGGATATTCATGTGTGCTCACAAAGGATGAGCTTTTGAATGGATTTAAATAAGGTTGGATGTAATTGTTGTGGGCGGCTATTTATTATGAAGATGGAGAGTTTATAAAGAAGAGTTTTTAAAGAAAAAACGTGTGAAAATGTTCTTGTGAAGACAACTGAACCAAATATCCTTGTGTGAAGACACTTGAGGCATAAAACCCTTGTGTAAAGGCACCTAAGTTAATAAATCCTAATGTGAAGGCACCTTAACCAAAGAATTCTAATGTGAAGGCACATGATTCATACAAGTCTATTGTTACGGCACCTATATCTCCAAAATATAGTGCAAAGGCACCTGAACCTTAGACATTTAGTGTGAAGGCACCTGAACCTTAGACATTTAGTGTGAAGACACCTGAATCTTAAACACTTAGTGTAAAGGCACCCAACCATAAAAATCCATAAGGAGCCTAAACTACAAAATTCAATAATAAAGTCATCTGAATCTCGATACACGAGTGTGAACGCATCTGAAATTCAAAAACATAAAAAAAAAACAAATATTTTTTTAAATAAATCTTTTTCATCTTTTTTTATTGAACTTCTCTTTCAAACTTTTTTTTTCTTGTTCAAAACGTTTTAATTTTTTTTTTTTCATCGAAAATGCAATTTTTGTGTTTTTTTTGTATCATTGAAACCTTAAACTTAAGATAATTCCTTAAACATCCTTTTTGTGTCATCTTAAATTTTTATAATTTTTTTAAACGTCTAAAAGTTTTTTGTTTATTTATTTTTTTATTTTATAGGCCTAAATACATTTTTTTTGAATTTACAATTTTTTTACTTACAATTTATAAGTGTTTTTGTCTTTAAATTATTAATTTTTTAAAATGCCCAAAGTATCTTTTTTTGAATTTTGGTTTTAAAATTTTTAAGTTTCGTTTAAATCAAGAATAAATCAAGATTTAATCAATTTTTTGAAATTATATTTTTCTTGCATTATTTTTTAAATTAAATTATAAATAAATTAAAATCAGTCTTGAAAATTAATAAAATTGGAAGTTCGTTGAATTTTGTAAAAATGCCAAAATTTAATTTATCTTGTCGGTTTCACAAATTTTTCTTTTTAAATTTTTGAAGTTTAAAAAGATGAAAAATTTGAGTTTCTGGTTGACGATTACTCAAGATTGTCCTAAAAGTGATCGAATCTGACGTTGACTTTGTCTCGGTTTTTTTTGTTGTATTTTTATTTTAATTAAGAAATGCATTAAATCAATAATTGTTTTTAAAAATTAATTAAACTAATTTACATTATAGAAATGCTAACAACTTAAATTTAAATAAAGTAAAATGAATGGAAAAAGGTTCAATTAATGCACAAATTGAGTTTTCCAACTTAATAAATAAGCAACAATTAGGCTTGTCGATATTATTGCAATATGATTAAAATTATAAAATATTTCGATTCTTAAATATTGCACAAGAATGAAAATTAAATGAATTTACAAATTATGAAAGATGATCGATGTGATTTTAAAAACATTTTTAATAAATTTTCTTGATCAAAAATTTCTGTTTTAATTTTAAAATTCAATTTTAGTTAAATTTTAAATTTTAAATTCAAGTTATAATTAAAAAGTGTTTAAATAATTCAAAAAAATCAATTTAGAATTGTTTTTACAATTAAAATACGATATTTTGTTGAAAACTCGAAAGAATTAATTTTCATAAAAAACTTAAAATTCAAAAAAAATTAAAATTATATTCTTTGTTGCAGATAGTTTGAAAATTATTGAGTTTAAATTATGATAATTTTGACAAATTCAAAAACAATTGAAATTAATCTTGAATAATTGAATCTTTGGTGCGGGGCATTTAGTTCCATTGTTTTACTTATTGCACGATTTAAAAACTTAAAATTGATTTTTTTCTCTTTTGTGCTACAAAATTGCACATTTATATAATTCAAATCATTTTTAAAAAATTATATTTCACTGAAATTCGCATTTATTGCAAATTAATATTTTTTTGTGGGCCTTTTTGACTTTTCATGTAAAAATGATAAACAGAACTCATCAGTTTAATTTTTTAATTTTAAAATTCTTAACTTAATACTACATAAAAAATTAAATTCACTATTTACTGCAGTTGCAGCAATTTTCTTTTATTTTTTTACATTTTTTATTTTTTTTTCTTAAATTTTCCAAAATTCTAAAACCTCCGAGACCATCAAATTAAGGTCCCATCGATAAACTTAATTCTTTACAATTTCTTAAATGCTTTTTTATTTTTTTTTTGTTTTTCCAAAATTTTAAATTTTTCCTCAAAATTTTATATTTTTTCAATTTTTTTCACCAAAATTCTAATTTTTTTACAAAACTTTAATTTTTACACTTTTTTCGAAAGTTTTTAAACTAAAAAATTTAAATGCTCGACATCATTTGATGACCTGCCTGCTGATGTGGTGGCTGTGGATGTGAAGTTCCACTTGCATGTTGATGCTGATGATGTCCAGCATATGAATCGTAATCTCATGGTTGCTGATGATGTTGTTGATGTAATCCAAGTTCACTATTGTGCAACCGCAGTGCCTGTTCAAGTCGTTGCTCTTGAAGACGAAGTGCTTCCGATAAATCTGGCGAAAACTGTGACTGAATCTGCGAACTTGAGTTGTTCTGGTGGTGATGATTGTTGTATGGCATTCCATTATGATGACGGAATTGATTGTTTGTATTTGGATCGTTGCTACTTGATGCTACGACAGCTGCTGCTTGACTTACAGCTAATCTTAAAGCTGCTTCCGCTTGACTACGCAGAAGTGCCTCAGCTTGATGAATTCTCATTGCTGCATCTGATTCTTGATGGTGATGATGATGCGGTGCATGCTGATTCATCTGTGAATTATTTTGATGTCCATAATTTGACGGTGACTGATGATTTCCATTACTTAATGGCTGATTTTGTCGCATAGCAGCTGCTAGATTGGCAACAGCTTGTGCTGCTGATGTTGCTGGATTTACAGGCGATCCAATGCTATTGCATGAATTTTGATTTTGTGCGACTATATTTGCAGCTGCAGCTGACACCATCTGTTGATATTGCTGATGTAAATGTTGACCGGGTGGCGTCCGAAGAACATCGTTGACTGATAGCTTGCTATTATAATTAAGATTGCCGGATGTCGTTAGATTTGTGGCACCGTTTGTATTGTTGTTGTTGTCACTGGCATTTTCTGGGTTATTATTGTTTGTATTGTTGCTATTTGCATTATTCTGATTGTTCTCATTACCGTGACTGTCTGGGTGTGGTGAATTCATTCGATCGTTGCATGATGATGCCTGGAATTGAGATTAAACATTAAGTTTTTACAATTAATTTTGATTTCTGAATGATTTCTTACCTCAGAATGAGCTGGCGAGGCTCCTCTTGAATTTTGTGAAATTTGCGAAAGTAAACCTGACCCTCCAGCTATAGCTGATGCTAGAATTGTGTCTCGTTCTCGACGCTCAGCTGCTGCACGACTTAACATGTATTGTGCTGCAAATTGATGCTTTGGATCTGTCCTCATATGCTCCATGTGAGTTAAGAGACCTGAAATTGATTTTTAATGTTAAGATCCTGCATTTTACATTATTATAGCAGTTGGATATACCAGCTTCATGTGTAAACACCGCTTGACATACTGAACATGGCCACATTCGTAAACTGTTGGCAATTTGACTTGTTTCTGGATGACATGCAAGATGCTTTCTTAATGAGCCTTCATTGACATATGACTTGCCACATACGGGACATGGATGATTGGCAGTTCTGCGTTGTTGTTTTGACAGTGAATATTGATCATTTGGTGACATAGGATCTGACATTGGCGGGGGTGCTGCAAATAATTTTAATTATTATTATTTTTGATGATTTTTGAAAAGCTCAAAAATTCTTACAAGGAGCAGGCGCAGGTGGCGTCGTTTCCTGTTTATGATGTGTCTTCATATGCTCCATAAGTGCCTCACCGCCGAGGAATAGTTTATGACAAATTAAGCAACTTGTAGCATTTGGACCTCCAATAAGAGCCGCATGCTGCTGCAAAACTCCCAAATGCAATTGCAATTCCTGTGAACAAAAGTGAAACTAAACAGTTGTAATCGTGATTGTAGACGGGTTATTGCACACAAAAATTAAAGTTTTTATAAAATGATTGCAAATTATTTACTAGTTTCATCAATTTTTAAGTTCAGTAAGTGTGAAAATTATAAAAATAATTATGTAAATAAATTAAATCTAATTTTATTGTCTGAATTTCAATTATGAGCTCTACTGAATGGTTAAATTGCTGCGATTTATAAGTTAAATGTTGCATCTGATCATCATGAAGAAATGAAAATATGGAGTCATAACCTCAAAATTTCAAAACCTAACCTCAAAATTTCAAAACCTAACCCCAAAATTTTTCACAAATCACCTCAAAAATTACAGAATTGACCTTAAAATATTAAAACTCAACCTCAATTATTTACAAGTTAACCTCAAAAGTACAATTCTAACCCCAAATTTCAATTTAACCTCAAAATTTTCAATCTAATCTCAAACTTTTAGACTTTACCTAAATTTTTTTAAATCTAACCTCAAATTGTAGAACTTAACCTTAAAAATTCTTAAAATAATCTTGCTTTTCAATCTAACCTCAAAATTTTCAATCTAATCTTAAATTTTAGACTTAACCTTATATTTTTAAAATCCAACCTCAAAGTTTGAAATATTACATATAAATTTTTTAATCTAACCTCAAAAGTTGTAGATCTTAACCTTAAAAATTCTCAAAATAATCTTTCAATTTTCATCCAAAACTCAATTTTCCACAATGACACAACTCACAATCTCCCCACGCATACATCACCACATCCACCACCACAAATCATCACCAACTCAAAACGAGTAAGAGAGATGGAGACAAAGTATAAAAAATAATGCAAATGAACCAATTGAAATGAGAATTTAATGAACGGTAATTTGCAGTTCTAATTGGCTGCGAACAAAAAAAGAAATCCATTCGAGACGAGAAAAATTAGAGTAAAAAAGGCAGCATTGAATGACTTTCTGTTGCTGTTCTCGTTCGAGAATTAAAACAATAGAATAAAAAAAAATTAAAATTAAATGTTGAAAAAAAAGTGAATTGAATGGAAATGAAGTGAGTTATGATAATGGTATTGAAATAAGAGTGGGGATTAGATAGGTGATGATTGTAATGAGTGGGGAAAGGGTAAGTTTGAAGAATTTTTTATTGATAAGGCACAATTTCACTAGTCATTTGGAAACCCAAGTAAAAGCTGAAAACTCAGAAATAATCAAGAGGTTTAAGCAATCTCCTAGTTACTCGTTATTTTGGTTTTAGGTAATTGTTATTTATTACTAGATACTAGCTACTAGGTACGAGCTACTAATGACTAGAAGCTAGCTTCTAGCTCCTGGCTCCTTACTACAGGATACTAGCTTTTAGCTATTTTTCTGATCAAATCTCAGTATTTTGGATCTTAATGTAGTTCCAAGAGTTAAAATATTCCTTACTATGGTTGTGGTTCTCAAGAAATCTTCATCATCTAGAAAGACCATGCCTGATACTGATACGGAATATTTTCTTGAATTCATCTAACCCCACAAGTCACAAACCACCTAAAACCAAACTAAACTCCCAATCCAATCCACCATAATACCCCACAAATTTCATCCAGTCCTCTAAAATAACAAAACTTCCACATGCGGTTCACATTTGAGGGGAGAAAGTTAATTAATGAAAGGGCAATGGCAACGGCAATTATCGTCGCTTTTGTCTCTTCCTTCATAAATATCTACACCAGTTTATTTATCCTATGTAGATGCTGACGATTATTCGTGCAATTTTTTTTTATTTCATTCCGTTTTGCCACAGCAGATGTGAACTTTTTTTTTCAGTTACGGAAGAACAAAAAAAAAAGAAGTGAAAAAAAGTGGACGAAGAAAAAATGTTTTCATGTTTTACATGAAAAACGCGTTTTATGGTCAGTTGTTGGAGATTAAAATTCCATTTGTGCTGTTTATCATGAGAACTCTTTTTTTATTCGTGGATGTTGGTGGAAAATTGTCGAGTGGGAAATATTGTGATAACTTTAAGTGGTTGGAGGGTGTTGCAACAGGTGGTATGGAATGTTTATAGATATAAAGGTGAGATTTTGGAGATATTCGATTAAAATATTGAAAATTTCATGGAATTCGGTTGAGGATGTTGAGTTTTTAAACATTCATAGCATCAAAAGTTATTAAATCTAGTACAATTTGTAATAATCTGATACAACTTTTTAAAAACCTAGTCCTTTTGTCATCAATCTAGTATCTCAAATCTATAACAATTTGTAATTAATCTAGTCTGATTTGATTTTAATCTAGTACAGTTTTTTTTAATTAATCTAGTCCAATTTTTCATTAATCTAGTACATTTCAATACAAATATAAAACTCTAGTACAATTTGAAATAAATCTTTTCAAATTCCCATTAAATCTAATACAATTCGCAAGAATCTTTACTTAAAATCAAAAAAATCTTATTAAAAATGCTTACCTTAGACGTATGTGTTCTTAAACTTGATTCCGTTGCGAATCCTTTTCCGCAGATGTTACAATGAAAAGGACGATTTTTTGCACGTTCAACTTGCGCATCATGATTACGCAAATGCTGCTGCAAATTACTCAGTTGTATAAAGGCTCGGCCACAATCCGCTAGATGACATTTGTAGGGACGTTCGCCTGTAATTAGAGTGAGCACACAGAAAAAACAGAGAGTAGAATTAAATAAGAGGTAAAATGTTAATGATCATGTAACGTGAGACGGTGTTGATGAGAAGTTTGTGCACCTGGGAATATTTTTTTTGTCAAGTTTTTTTCTTGCTAGCAGAGACGAGGAAGTTTATGGTCGCACGACTCAACACTTCTGGCTGTTTTGGAAGAAAGTTGAGTGTTCTGATGAATAAGTTGGAAATTTTATGAGAATTTTGTCTATTTTTGAGGTTTAAATGCTCAATCTTAAGTCAGAATCCTGGTGATAATTTTTAAGTCACTCAAAATTTTCACTTAGACACCCCAAACCCTATAACAAACTGCGCTTAATATCCCCCTACTAACAACTCCCAACTGCATATCCTTAACATCCAATTTTCTCATCTTTTTATTCTCATTAACAGCATCAAAATTCATGAATATCTTCCCCATCCACCAATCATTTTGTACTGCAGTCGCTTTTTAATTACTTTTTTTTCTCATCTTCTATTTTTAATAATCAGGACAACTCGTTGAGTGGATTTTTTTTTGTTCTCTATGCCGTTGTTTGAGATAAAAGAGAGCGCTTCTTTTTTGTGTTGGGGTCCTTGTGGGAATTTTAAAATAGAATTTTAAAGGGGTACATAGGTTTATAGAAAGAGTACGACAACTCTGTAAGATGGGGTATATAGGTTTTGTATGAAGTAGGTACGAAGGTTCTTTAAGAGGGGTACTAAGCTATAATGAAAGGGGCACAAATGTTCTTAAAACTGGGTTACAAAGTTTTATAGAAAATGAATAGTAAGGTTCAATATGAAGGGGTACGAAGGATCAATAAAAGGGGCTCGAAGGTTGTGGAAAAAGGGGGACAAATTTTTTTAAAGAAAGTATCCAAAGATTCTTTTACAAGGTGGACTAGTGTACAGTAAGAGCTATTACAAAGGTTAAAGAAGATAAGGAACGAAAATTCAATAAATAGGAATCCGAAATTTTATAAAAGGGGTACAAAGGTTTTATAAAAGGTACTCATTTTTTATAAAAGGGGTACAAATGTTTTATAAAAGAGGTACAAAGGTTTTATAAAAGGTACACAGGTTTTATAAAAAAGGGTACAAAGATTCAAAAATGGTTCACAGCTTCAATAATTTTCTAAAATTTCTGACAAAATTACCTCGCGCAATTGAATGACACGATAGAAAAAGAAAAAAAAATGATCCGAATCACTGCCGCATTTCTTCCCACTTAACCCTTTTTTTTTATTGTTTTTTAAATGCTCGTTTAGCATGTTTGTGTTACATTTCAATTTAAAGGCAATTTTTTCATTTCCATCTCTTTTCATTGAATTTTTTTTCTCCACTGTGGCTGTCGCTTTTCATTTAAATCACGCGAGAAAAAGATTTTTTTGCTGTGTGTTGCAATGAAAATGGAATTGAAAGAGATGAAAAAGAGTTGAATAAAGGAAGAGTGGACATGGTGAAAATAGCTGGGGTAGATGGGGTTGAAAGGTTAAGAATCGTGAGAAAATTCTTTTACATTGAAATTGTGGAATTTGAAGAAGAATTGGCTGATTTTGAGATTATTTTCTCATTTTCTGGACACATTTTGAAACAGTAAATCCTTAAAAATTCATCTAAAATTCCCCAAATTCAACACCCAACCAAAAGGTCACGTTCTGCAGACATTCAGTAACAAGCCATATTCCCATTCCAGAATTCAATTTACTTCCTTCGCGTCTTCCTCACGCCATGTTAGTCAACAGAACATTTTATTTGCTGCATTAATTTTTTTTTCATCCAAAGAAGTCTGAACAGGATAAGCAGGAACGAGACTAATGGCCACGTTAATTACTCATTTTCGCAATTTTCTCATTTTTTTTTCTTTCACAAACAAATTGAAATTTTTTTCTCCTTCGTCTTGCAATTCAAAACTCTTCAAATGAAAATGAAATGAAATAAAAAGTGTAGCGAAAATGTGTAATTAAAAAAAATGTTTTTTTTTCATGCTGCTTCTGTTGAACGGGATGCGATGGCGATGAAGAAATGCTTCAAGAATCCTTAATTGATTTTTCTTTTTTGCCACTTTTTTTTGTTTGTCTGAACGGAGATTTTTGTGGTGTTTTTTGGGGGGATAGAGTGACATAGTGATGCAGCTTATTCAATTTTTTTAACTCTACAAGGTTCTTTTTTGTTGATTAAGACTCTTTAAGGTCGATTGAGACTCTTTAAGGTCGATTGAGACTCTTTAGGGTCGATTGAGACTCTTTAAAGTGGTTTGAGACTCTTTAGGGTGGATTCAGACTCTTTAGGGCCGATTGAGGCTCTTTAAGGTCGATTGACAATCTTTAAGGACATTTTAAGTCAACCCATATAGGACTTTATGTCACAAACCTCCTTAGCATACCAAAAACATTCCAACTTAATTGCACAAACTCCTTTAAAATCAAAAAAGACACAATAAATCTAGCGATAACTCAAGCTCACCTGTATGTAGCCTTGTATGTTGTTGTACATGTGATAATTGTTTGAATCTTCGGTCACAATATGCTATAACAAAATTATTAAAAAGCAAAAAACGTTGTAAGGAATGTTGACATGTTGACGAGCAATTTTTTAATACTTACTGCATTTGTATGGCTTTTCTCCTGGAGATATGGAATGAAATTGAGAAAAAAATGACAAAAATTAGTAATGAATATAGTTTTTGTTCAATATAGTTGGATTATTGGGGGGAATTCTTTAACTGGGACCTAAGTGTTGTCCTTGTAAATGCTCACTACCATCCTTTACCATACCCTATCCCATACCCTATCCCATACCCTATCCCATACCCTATCCCATACCCTATCCCATACCCTATCCCATACCCTATCCCATACCCTATCCCATACCCTATCCCATACCCTATCCCATACCCTATCCCATACCCTATCCCATACCCTATCCCATACCCTATCCCATACCCTATCCCATACCCTATCCCATACCCTATCCCATACCCTATCCCATACCCTATCCCATACCCTATCCCATACCCTATCCCATACCCTATCCCATAACCTATCCTGTACCCTATTCATACCCTATCCGTACCTTATCCCATAACCAATCATTTACTCTATCTTTTACCCTATTCCAGTGATGGCCAACCCGTGTGCCACGGCTCACTGGTGTGCCGTCATAAAAATTGGGATATCACACGAACCGTATGCTGTAGGCGGTTTTGGTCGCGGCACAAAAAAGGTTGCCCACCTCTGCCCTATCCTATACTTTCTCCTATACCATACCTATACTCAATGTCCTCAGAATTTCCGCCAATATTCAATAAATATCAACATAATCCTCACCTGTATGAACACGAATATGTTGAACAAGTTGGTGATTACTGCTAAAACTCTTCAGACACTGTTGACATTGATGTGGCTTTGATTCGCTCGTACCTGTTGAACCACCACCATTTCTCTGTATGTCACGTGCATGCTGCATTTGCATTGCACTCTTGTGCATGAAAATCTAATGATAAAGTTAAGAGAAAAAATTTGTTTGATTAAGAAAAGTTTTGTGGTGAAAAAAAATGAAAAAAAAAAATTCTTGTGTAGATCTTCCAACTCAAATGATAAAATATTTAAATGCCAAACTTGATGTGCCAATTATTTTGGCATTTTTTTTTTCGCTGATGAAATTTTGTTTTAAAATTTGATTTTTTTTGATTATAAATTAGTAAATTTTTGACCGACCTGGTTCTGTAGAAGAAAATTCTGAAGTTATCAGGACAAGGTAAGTGCAACGGAGAACAAGAGAATTTTTTTTAAAGATTGATTTTTTTAAAGTTTTTAATTTGTTGATCAGAAAATGATTTTGGGGGTTAAGTAAGATGAAAATAGGTTTGACGACTCCAAAAGCTCTTTAATGAGTTTTTTTAAATTGAATTTTTTATTTTACTTTGTTTTGCATAAAAATTCCTACAACTATTTTTTTTTGTTGTTTTTAAACCGAGGAAAATTTTTTATTAGTCACAATAAAAATAATAAAAATATTTAAAAAGTCACATGTGATAAATTATAAGTAGCGAGAAAATATAAAGAAAAGTGAAAATGCACGCTAGTGACGCATTATTGTCTCGTTGACGAATAAGGAAGGAAATGAAAAAAAATTTTGTATTTTGTATGATGATTTAAGTTTAAAGTTTAAAGTGGATTTTTGTAGAATTTTTGGAGCCAAGTCAAATTATGATACAAAAATCTATCAAAATTTACAATGTCAGTTCTTTGACAAAGTTAAATTTAGTTTTTTTGGTTTAATTTAAGTTTGATATTAACTTTGAAAGTTAGTTTTGAGATTCTGACTTCAGAATAATGCTTCTAATCTTTAGGCTGTCCAATTGCACAATTTTGACCGGGAAGTTTCGCATTTGGAAAAAAATTTCCGCCTAAAATCCTTAAAATTAAGCTTTTTTGAACCAATTGTTTTTTGAAACTGCTTATAAAGTTTGTTCTGTCGCGCTTATTCAGAGCTGAAATCGAGACGTGTCCCGCTTTTAAACCAAAATTCTCCGAAAACAGATGATCAGCCTACTAATCAACAACATTGCGTTAATAACGACCAAGGTTTGACTCAAAATTGTCTCCAGTTCATCCCATTGTCCAAGATAATCTCTTAAAGACCTCAAAAGCCCAAAAACCATTGAAAATTCCATCAAAATTCACAAAACTCCTCTTCAGCATCAACCAACTCCAATTAATCCCAAAAAAATACCATTCAACCTCACAAGTGTTCACCATTATTCAAAAACAGACAAAACAAAGATTCCGCATCACGCGAATTTTTTTCCCCACAACCAAAAAACAAATTTCTCATCTCATTTTCATCATCCTCATCAAAATTACTTTTTTTTTTCAAACAACTGCCGCCAAACAAAAATTTTTGTGTTTTTTTTTTATTTGTTTTTCGAGTTCCTAACCTACGACAAGACGAAAAAAGTGCGGAAATTTTTTTTTCGAGGAGGAATTAAAAAAATTTCACACATGTGAGATGAAAATGATGACGAAAATGGGGAGCGAAATAATGATGCCTTTTGCTTCCGCACAGTTCAATGTGACTTTAAAAATAATTTTAATTTTTTGCATTAAATGAAATTTTTAAAAGTAAAATTTAAAGAAAAAATTGTCATTTGAGAGGGGATATTTGAGGATATTTAGGGATATTTGGGGATATTTAAGGATGTTTGAGGATATTTAGAGATATTTAAGGATATCTAATAGTATTTATGTCGATTACATCCTCCAAAATATTCAATAACCTAAATCATCCCCACCATAACCTCAAATCTAATCAAAATTTTGACCTACGATAACATAACCTCAAAAATTCACTTTAATTTCCCCATAATTTTGCTCAAATTTATCGCCTGCATTCCCTTCATATGACACAATAATTCACATAATGTGTGTTAAGTGATGAATAAAAAGTAATCGAATCAGTTAACGACTTGCAAATTTTTTTTAACTGTGAATTTTTTTTGTGTTGACAGAAAAAAGTAAAATTTTTCAGCATGAATGAACAATTTTTTTAAAAATAAATATTATTTTTTTTTTGCTCAAAACTCATTGATTTAATTAACTTTTAAATACAGTAAACTATTGAATCAATTTCCTCATATTTGAGTTAATCAGCATAAAAGGAAATGAATAAACAAAATTTTGAGACAAGAAGGAACAAGAAAAACAGGTTTTTAGGCCTTCAGAGAATGAAATTAAATATTTGGATTTTTTTTTGACAATTGGCTTGGAAAATTAGCGCAAGTTAGTTATTATAATAGAGCTGAGCTAGAGCTGGGCTAGAGCTGGGCTAGAGCTGAGCTAGACCTGAGCTAGAGCTGAGCTAGACCTGAGCTAGAGCTGAGCTAGACCTGAGCTAGAGCTGAGCTAGACCTGAGCTAGAGCTGAGCTAGAGCTGAGCTAGAGCTGAGCTAGAACTGAGCTAGAGCTGAGCTAGAACTGAGCTAGAGCTGAGCTAGAGCTGAGCTAGAGGTGAGCTAGAGCTGAGCTAGAGCTGAGCTAGAGCTGAGCTAGAGCTGAGCTAGAGCTGAGCTAGAGCTGAGCTAGAGCTGAGCTAGAGCTGAGCTAGAGCTGAGCTAGAGCTGAGCTAGAGCTGAGCTAGAGCTGAGCTAGAGCTGAGCTAGAGCTGAGCTAGAGCTGAGCTAGAGCTGAGCTAGAGCTGAGCTAGAGCTGAGCTAGAGCTGAGCTAGAGCTGAGCTAGAGCTGAGCTAGAGCTGAGCTAGAGCTGAGCTAGAGCTGAGCTAGAGCTGAGCTAGAGCTGAGCTAGAGCTGAGCTAGAGCTGAGCTAGAGCTGAGCTAGAGCTGAGCTAGAGCTGAGCTAGAGCTGAGCTAGAGCTGAGCTAGAGCTAGAGCTGAGCTAGAGCTGAGCTAGAGCTGAGCTAGAGCTAAGCTGGAGCTGAGCTAGAGCTGAGCTAGAGCTGAGCTAGAGCTGAGCTAGAGCTGAGCTAGAGCTGAGCTAGAGCTGAGCTAGAGCTGAGCTAGAGCTGAGCTAGAGCTAAACTGGAGCTGAGCTAGAGCTGAGCAAGAGCTGAGCTAGAGCTGAGCTAGAGCTGAGCTAGAGCTGAGCTAGAGCTGAGCTAGAGCTGAGCAAGAGCTGAGCTAGAGCTGAGCTAGAGCTGAGCTAGAGTTGAGCTAGAGTTGAGCTAGAGCTGAGCTATCACTGAGCTAGAGCTGAACTAGAGCTGAGCTAGAGCTGAGCTAGAGCTGAGCTAGAGCTGAGCTAGAGCTGAGCAAGAGCTGAGCTAGAACTGAGCTAGAGCTGAGCTAGAGTTGAGCTAGAGTTGAACTAGAGCTGAGCTAGAGCTGAGCTAATGCTGAGCTAATGCTGAGCTAGAGCTGAGCTAGAGCTAAATTAGCTTTTTATCAAAATTTCCCATCAGAGTAAACCGCGCTCCATCAAACAAAACCTCTCATTTACCTCCGTAATAATTCTATGCAGCTCCGTGACGAGATTAAAGCAACACACAATTCAGGATAAAATTAGAATTTAATTTCACTTCTTTTTTTTCTTGTATGTCAAGATTTAAAAATAACAAAAATTTCTTCAAGTAGAAAAAAATCTTTAGTTTATTTTTCTCATTTACTTTTGTAAACAATTAGCAGATTAAAGAGTCGCTGAGAATATTTTACACTATTTTTTTTTGCTGCTGCTCATTATTTTCCGTCACTGCAATTTGCTTCTCACTTTTTTTTTATGAGACTTCAATTCATTTCAAGGGTGATTTTTTTTTCCTTTTCTTTTTATTTATAAACAAAAAAAAACGTAATCTTGAATAAATTTTTTGTGTTGAAGGGGTTCATCAGTCTTGTGTTTCCTTGACTTGGTCTTTAACATTTCATTCTTATCCTTTTTTTTGTCGGCAACTGTTGTGATTTTTTACAATTTTTTTTATGAGACTTTTTACTTTTGTTTTGATTCTTTGAGGCTTTTTTTGTCGTTTGTTCCGTTAATTCTGAGACACAAACCATAATTGATACGGTTACTTCCTTTGAATTTTTAAAGAGTTTTTTATGGATAAAGATAATTAAGTTTTGATATGTGAGATTTCTTGAAAGGGGTTTAGAGAGGGTTTGGATCATGTCAGGTAAGATAAGTGCTCAAATTTTGAATTTCAATAAGATTTTTTGAAATTTAATTAAGTTTGAATCTTCGTCTCAAGTTTAAGTCGTTGCTTTAAGATAAAGTCGATGCTTTAAGTTTAAGTCGTTGCTTTAAGTTTAAGTCGTTGCTTTAAGTTCAAGTCGTTGCTTTAATTTTAGGCCATTGCTTCAAGTTTGAGTCGTTGCATCAAGATAAAGTCGTTGCTTTAAGTTTAAGTCGTTGCTTTAAATTCAAGTCGTTGCTTTAAGTTTAAGTAGTTGCTTTAAGTTCAAGTCGTTGCTTTAATTTTAGGTCATTGCTTAAAGTTTGAGTCGTTGCATCAAGATAAAGTCGTTGCTTTAAGTTTAAGTCGTTGCTTTAAGTTCAAGTCGTTGCTTTAAATTTAGATCATTGCAATATATTCAAATCGTTGCGTTGAAATTCTGCCACAAACTGAGTTAAAGCCTCATATTTAAGTCATCACCTCAAACTTAAATCACTTAAAATTCAAAGTATGAACGAAAAATTCAACAGCAATTGTCAGCAACTTCAAGATAAGAACCAAAATATTTAAAACAAAAATTCCCTCAAGCTATTCACATACTCGATTATTAACAAGACTAATGCTTCCTTCAACAAAAAAAAATTAAATTTTTAATATTTCACACCTCTTTTTTCAACAACAAATAATTTTTTTATTATTATTTCAACTTTTATTGCACTTCTTTGCCTTCCTATCTTGAGAACTAGAACTTTTCTACTAAAAAACTTTTTTTACACAACAAAAAAAAATTCGCTTTCAGTTTTAAAATTTTTTTTTTCTCGCGATGCGACACAGCGTGCAAATGTACATAAATTGCATTTACGAGGAACAATCTAAGTATACAAAAAAAAATATTGTGTGAAAATAAAGAAGTGTGAGAGGAAAGAGAGGAGCACATGAAAAGCTGAAAAGGAGGAAGAAGAAAACTTGCAACATCTCACAAGTGACTGAGAGGCACATATGATGATGTGATGCACAAGATGCACTGAAATGAAACGTGCGAGATTTTTTTTCTTCTTTGTTGTTGTTGGAGCTAATTTACTATTTTTCAATTAAAAATGAGTTGGAATTTAGGCGTCACTTTGAAGCTTAGCTTTTTATTAAGTCGACGCTTTGCAACTTGGTTTTTAATAAGTCGTCGCTTTTAAGCAAAACCTCTGATTAAGTCCTCTCTTTGAAACCCAGCTTCTGACTAAGTCGTCGATTTGAAGCCCAGCTTCTGACTAAGTCGTCGCTTTGAAGCATAGCCTCTGATTAAGTCCTCACTTTAAAGCATAGCCTCTGATTATGTCGTCGCTTTGAAACCCAGCTTCCGACTAAGTCGTCGCTTTGAAAATTGGTTTCTGACTAAGTCGTCGATTTGAAGCATAGCCTCTGACTGAGTCGTCACTTTGAAACCCAGCTTTTGAGTGAGTTGTCACTTTGAAGCATAGCCTCTGACTAAGTCGTCACTTTGAAGCATAGCTTCTGACTAAGTCGTCACTTTGAATCATAGCTTCTGACTAAGTCGTTGATTTGAAGCCCAGCTTTTGAGTGAGTTGTCACTTTGAAGCATAGCCTCTGACTAAGTCGTTGACTTGAAGCATAGCTTCAGACTAATTCGTCGCTTTAAAGCATAGCTTCTGACTAAGTCGTTGATTTGAAAAATATCTTCTGAGTAAATCGTTACTAAGTTCTCGATACTCAAAAAAGCGTTTAATTTCCTCCTGACCTTCAAAAATTTTCAACTTTTTCTTCTCAATCAACAAATTTTCCTCACAAAATCGGCCCAAAAGAACATTTTCTTCTCAATTTTCAAACTTTTCCTCTCATTTCATTGCACTTTTTTGCATCCAATTTTCTTCTCAATTTACATTTTGAAAATTTTTCTCATTAAATCGTGTCGCATTAAAAAAAACCTTTGTACAATGACCTTGTGTTATGTTTTTGAACCCGGCATTTGTGCCTCATTTTTTTTTCATCATCATTAAGACGAAAAAAAAAACTGTAAAATTTTCGCACATTCGTTCAAGTGCGATCACTTTCAGATGTGAAAGAAGAAGTGAGTGTGAAAAAAAAAGAATTCTGTTGTGTTGATTTTTTATTTTTCTTGTTCTTTCTTGTTTGTGAAGCAAAAAAAAAATTGAAAGGAAAATTGCGAGAAAAAAATTAATTTGTTGCGTGAGAGAGGAAAAATGTGAAAAAGTGCAATGAAACGAGACAAGGAAAGAAAAGTGAGGAAAAGGTGAACAGATTGTGTAAATATAGAAAAAGAAGAAAAAATATTGTGGCAATGTTTTGGGTTTGTTTGATGATGACCTAAGAGGATATGGAACTTTATTACAAGAAGGCTAGATTTGACCGATTCTACATCAATGTAATGGCCAATGTTTGAACTGAGAACGTTATGAGCACGATTATTAACAATCTAACACAGTTCTGGCCCACTTTTTTTGAGCCTTGGCACTCTTGGTGGTAATGCATGACCAAAACTGTACACAGACTCGTAGGATATCCTATAACGCAGCACACTGGTTGGCCATCACTGATTCTATGATGAAAATTGAAGTTATTTTTGGTGTAAGGACTGATTTTAATTAAATGCCGGTAACCAGGTGAGTACAACTAGATTAATCTCCTAGTTTTGGCTTGTAAAGCATGAATTAAGCATTCGTTGGGATATCTCTTTTCAATAAAGTCAAACCAAGCACTGATGGCTGTATTGAATCATTCAAGATCATAAAAAAACATATAATGCTTTAACTACAGCCACAGTCAGCTTTGAAAAAATTCATAACCTACAAATTCAATCCACAAATCAACTTTTTTCCTCAACATTTGCCTACAAAATTATTTCACATCGATTTTTTTCCACTTTTTCACCCCACTTTGCTCTTCTTACATTATTTTTCTATTATTAAATTTCCATAAATTTTCCACGTGAATTTATTTCGTCCTTAAATCTCATAAAGAGCATAAAATAATTTTAAGACAGTCTCAAGTAGAAATAAAAAGTTTTTTTTGAGCCGTCGGAGTTTCAGACGCGACAATGGGTAAGAAAAATATTATTTGGGCACGACAAAAAGTTTAAAGATTGAGTGTCGATGTTCTCACTTTTGGAGATTTATTTTTGTCTCTAATTAGGAATAAATTAAGGATTGAGAGTTGAGAATGAGGAAGCATTTTCTGGGGTTATTATCCGATTTGAAGGTTAGATTAAATTAGAATATGATGAGAAACAACTTGAGTGAAGCATTTTTATATAATTCAATCTAATAATTTAAGCTGGATGATTTTGGAAAAATTTAAAAAAATTTTTGAATGCCAAGGGGTGTGAAAGTACGAATTGAAAAAATTAATTTTTGTACTAAAAAGTGAAGTTAAAATCAAATGATATAAAATCTAATATTTAGAATAGATTGCTGCATTATAAATAGGAAATGTATAAATTTTTGAGTCCAAGGGGTATACAACTATGCATAATTATTCAAAATTTGACTCAATATTGGCATAACTTCAATTATTTGAACTATATTTTAAAATCTGAGGTTTAGTAAATGATTAAACTTTGAATTGATGAATTATTGAATCTTAAGGGGTGTACAACTAAGAAAAAGCCTTAACTTTGCTTCAAGTAAGACTGGTTGTGGCTTAATTCATGAAGTTTTCCAAACAGGCTTGGATTCTGGTTCTTACAAAATTATACAACTCAAATAAGTCTCAATTGAAGTCCTGATGCCAAGTTCAACAATCTTCTAAATTTTCTATTCGCATCATCATCAACAGCTGTGACTTTTTGACATTTCTCTCCCCAATTCCTTACTTTCTTCCTCAATAAAACTTTTCATTTTTTCAAAAAAAAAAAAAAAGCACAAGCAGAGAAAATTTTTGAAGGTTAAGTTTTGTATCTGAAGTAGAAAAATTTTCATTTTCATCATCATTGTCTGTTGATTCTGTTGATTCTGTTGTTCTGTGTATTAAAATTAGATCAACACATTCTCATGCTGTATACATAATTATCACTTATTTCGGTAATTTGTGTGAGAATTTGAGGATGATGAGACATGATTAGATGTCAATGAGATTTGAAAAGTGAAATTTTTGAAGGATTTAAACTTATTGTCTGAGAATTTGGATGAAATTTTGTTGACATTTTAAATTATTATTGAAAAGTGAGTTAAAGATTGTAAATTTGTGGCAAATTTTGAGAAAAGTTTAAAATTCAATATTAAAACTTCAAATATGAGGATTTTTTGATTCAAAAAGTAAATTGCCTTGTCCAAAATCACTTACCTTAAGTAGTATCAAATGATAAGTTTTACTAATAGTTTATTAAAATATCAATGCGTTTTGAGGTCAATTGAAATAAATTTTGAACATTAAGTCCAATTTAAAATAGAAAAGGTGGCTAAAATTAAGAAAATTCGAAACAAAAATCTCTGAAAATTAAAAACTTTAATAAATAAAAAATTAATAATTAAAAATCATAAAATGAAAGAAAAATTATATTTTAAAGAAATTTTATTTCAAATTAAACTATAATAACAAAAAATAAAGTATAATAAAATAATAAAGAAATAAATAGTTTTTCTAATTTTTGGCCAATTAATATCACAATTTGGTTCGAGTTTTTTCAAATCCCATAGCCCTAGACAACTCCTCATAAAAAGGATCGTTGACCTCAATTTATCGTAAAAATCTAATTCTATTTTACCCATTTTTGAAACTTTCAATTTATTCTTTCATGCGGCTTACACACATGAATGTATGTAAAGTCTCTCATTTTTTATTCTTTTTTAAATTTAAATAAAAGGCATAAAAGGATGAGAATGAGCAGACACAGAATTGAGAGGAGATTTTTTTTGTATTTGCTTAACGGCACACACGTGCGTGAGCTGTCTGAATTATTATTTTTATATGTTATTTTTTTAATGAAGAAATGTGTGAGTTTGAATTTTTTTTAAAATATCATTAAAGAGCTTTGGAGAATTTTTCGGGGGTATTTTCAAGAGTTTTATGGGGGTTCCTGATTATTTGTAATTTTTGAAGAAAGTTTTTGAAGAATTTATGTGAATTGTGAAGACGATGTATGAGAATTATTGAAGAACTTTTTGAATATAATTGAATTGAATTTATAATTTTTTAAATTATAGCAAATAACTTCAAACTTTAAAACATTTGATTAAAAACTAATTTATTTGAATTTAAAACTTGTCATTATTTTAAAATTTTGTTTAAAATATTTTTAAACTTTTAAACTTCAACCCAAAATCTTATTTTTAAATTTTAAATTTCGCAAAACACAATTTTAACTTTTTAACAATAATTTGTAATTTTCAAAATTTAAGTTTTTCAAAATCTAGTTTAAATTTAAATTTTAACTGCAACATAATTTTTTAATTAGAATAAAATTAGATAAAATTAGAAAATTATATTTTTGTAAAATAAAATTCAACTTTTTCTAAGTTTTTAAATTCAAATTAATTCATCAATGCCTCAAATATCTTCAAATTAATTCACAAAAAAACCTCCCAAAACTCACAGAAACCGACAAAATTTTGAGAATCTTTGGAAATGTTCCAAAAGTAAAGAAACAACAACAACAAAAAATTGAGAGGGGAAAATTATTTTTCTGATTTTTTTTTTGGTTTGGTCTTCACTGTGGAAGAGTACTATACACAACGGAACAGATGCCAACTCACTCGTTGAAGGGTTGACCAGCATTCTTCCAATGTACGTTCGTTTATTGACGGTGTGTTGTTCGAACGACTCAGCTGCTGCTGGACAGAAATTAAAAGAAATATTTAAAAATTTTCAGGATGTTTTTTTTTCGAGGTGGTTTTTGGAGGATTTGTTTTGGTTTGGCGATGTTGCTGGTTTGAATTTTTGAATTTATCGATGGATTTTTATTTTCAAGTATTCGATAGATTTAAAAAACGATGAGTTTTTGCTTACAAGTGCGAATAATTTTTGATAACAAAACTATTTTTGTATCGAATTAATTGTCAATATTAAAATATTTTTTATCATGTTTTTCAAAAATCGCAAGGTTTTAATATTATTTGAAAAGTTTATCAACTTTTAAACAATTTGTTTTGATTTTTAATTCATTTGAAAAGTTTATCAACTTTTAAACAATTTGTTTTGATTTTTAATTCAAGTACAAACTTTTAATTAATTAAAAACAAATTTTAAAAATTTCAAATAACTCTAATTAATAAAGAACTAGATCTATGTTGTCAATTACAAAAAAAATATCAAGATCAGATCTAGAACTTTATAAATAAGGTTGATATAATTAAAAAAATTCAATAAAAATTAAATTCAATTAATTCATTATTTTACGGCTCACGAATATTTTTTGTTGAAATCATCTTTTTTAAATATTACATTTAATTTTAATGATTATTTTTCCCATTTTTAAGATTCTTTGCTTTATAACTTAAATATTGAAACTTTTTTCATTTAAATACAAAAAATAACAATAAAAAATAAGCAATAAAATAAATTAAAATAAAACTAAAAACTGAAAATTATAAAAACAAAAATTAAGATTTAATAGTTTGAAGATCCACACAATTTTTTTAATTTATTATTATTTGTTTTTAAAAAAAATTATAGTTACGCTTTCTGTATCCAAAATCATTTATGTTGTATTTTTATATTGTTTAATTTCAATTTTAAAGTTTAAGTCAACTTAAATTTTTTAATTTCAATATTTTTATTGTCAATTGATATAATTAGAATTCTAAGAAGATTGAATATTTTACTTTTTTTCAGTCCTGAATAAAAAATATTGTTTTTCAACTTTCCACAAATTTAATATTTTTTATCATATTATTTTGTTAAACTGTTGTTATAAAAAATTGTTTAATCAACAATTGTGAATTAATTTTTGTAGTTTTTCAGTAAAGTAATTTAAATTTATTTTTTCAATTGCATTTTAAATTTTTTTCACACTTTTTACTGTCAATTTCAAAAAATTATTGAATTTTTTTTAACTTTTCAGCCGGTGTTTTGAATTTTTGTTTTTTTCACAAATATTTTTTTTTTCAAAATATTTTTTTAATATTTCTCACGAATTTTTTTTTCTTTTCCAAAACCTTTTCACTTTTAATAAATTTTTCTTAATTTTTAAACCTTAACTGTTTCTTGCTCAGTCCACAATCATCAACATTCAACTCAATTCTGTTCCTTATCGTTCAATGTAAATCTCTTTTTATATTCTTAAAATACAAAATTTCTTTTTCTCAAAAAAAAACTTGTAAAAAAAATCTTCTCGCGATTCACAACCGAGAAAGAATAAAAAAGTGAAAATGCTCAACTGGACGTCTTAACGACTTGAAGGTTTCACCCTTTCTGTTCAAAAACTTTTCTTGTTTTACGACTTCTTTTTTTAAATTTTCTTTTCCATACAAAAAAAATAATACAAAAAGGCACTTTTCTTTCCTTCCACCGCTCCTCCGCTTATTTTTCTGTACGATTCACACACAGTGAGTCTTTCTTTGTACAGCAACAACACACAGGCAGGCACACAACGTTAAAAAATATAAAAAAAAGGGAAAGAAAAAGGCGAGAAACGAACGAGAAAGTCTCGAGAATAAAATTTTTTTTTTCTCCCTTATTTTTATTTCAAATTCACTGCCTTCCTTTTTTTTTCGGCATTTGCTGGCTGACTGCTACTTGCTTGCTGTCCCTCCATCCACAAATACTCGAAACTTTATGCATGTAGTGGTGATCGTACATTTTTTTTATAAAAAAATAAAATAAAATATAATAATGTGCATGGTGGTGCCGCGCGAAGACAAAATAATAAAAAAAAATTATAAATTGCGAGAAATTAAGGAACTGAAAAAAATTGTGGAAGGCTGAAAGGACGAGGAGAGACTGAAGCAATGCAGTCATGTGTTTTACTCAGTTTTTGGAGCTTTGCTCATTTTTTTGTAATTTTGATAACATATGGGAGGTATGTTTGGGGGGTTGGGAATGTGATTGTAACTAAGGATGTGATTTTTAGAGTGTTTGGGGATTTCCTATGGATAATGGACTAATACAGCACTGTTTTGTAATACAAGTGACTACAAATTCATCATATTCTAGAAAGGAATCTTAATAGTCACTTAAAAGAGGTCTAAAACCATAGTTGCTCAAGATTGAAGGTTCATCAAGTTACAATGCTTCCAAAGTTAACGTTTACGGTAGATTTGGTGGTCAAACTAGCTTTTAATAGTCCTTAGTTAACTACAGTTTACATTTTGAATGACAAGTGCTGTTGATTTTCTTATTGTGGACAGAAAACCAAGTTATTTTGGATATATTCAATTGAAACGAATTAAAACACAACTTGAAGTGCCAATGTCCTCACCATAAAAGTAATTGTAGCTTCTTATCAAATCAATCAGCTTCTCTGTCTATCAAATTTCATTGCTGTCGTACCAAATGGTCCTCAAAAGAGGCTCCATAATTCCATAAAATCATATAAGTCCATATTCAACCTTCAACCTGAATAGCACAAGTCGGTTAGTCAAATAAAAATCTGAAACTTAGCCAGCATGACTTTGACATGGTGCTGGACTCAAATCGAAACCCAGCTCCATGCCAGAGTTGCGCAAGCTATTCAGACAATTGAAACAAAACTTCCAATAAAAATCATAAGAAAGACTCCAAAATCGCACAAAGAGCACCACTATCGACCCATTAAAACCTTTACAACAACAGACAATTCAAGCAATTCACAATAATATTCACCCATACCCAAAAAAAAAAAATCCATTTTTCATCTCTCAAAAAAATTATTTTCTCTCATTTTAAAATGTTTTTTTCTCTCTCAAGAAAATTTACGAAAAATAAAGGAGAAAAAAATTTCCTTTTGTTCTAATGAAAATTGAGAATATGGGATGAGTTGGGGTGGCTGTGGATGCGGACGGTCTCTCACAAAAAATTACATTTCTTCCACCTTCTCGGTTCTTTTTCATTTTTCTTTCAATTGTTTCAGTTTTTATTGAGAATGGTTGTTGTTTTTTAAGGTAGTGATGTGGGTGTTGGGGGATGTCTTGGTGGATTCCAGGGGTGCTGGAGAGTGATCTTGGAATTTTTGTTTAAATTTAGAATGAATTTTTAGATATTTTTGGAGTGTTTTGATAGAAAATCGCATAGAAAATGTGAAAAATGGAGAATCTAGATTAAAATGAAGCCTCAATACCAAAAAAATATCTTTCTTATTGATTGACCCAGTGGTTCCCAACCTGTTTTCATACGAAACACTAAATTAGTGATTCAGCTTTTGAATGTAAACCTACAGATGCATGATGACATAAAAATGTCCCGCAAAGCATTGTTTGACAAGCATTGTCTCAAGTTTTGCTTGAAGCAGATCACGCAAGGATCTGACGCTGCTCCAAAAATGAGTTTCACAGCCTTTGAACTCTTTGAATTCTTTTTTGAAGCTAGTTTCCAGTGTTGCCAAAGACTTACACTAGTGTTATTCACATTTTATTTATTATTCTAGAATTTTAATACATTGGCTTTGAATTCCAGCACAGTGGGGACTAGAGAGCTGTGGACACAATCCAATGATCATAGAATCAACTCAAATCTCCAACTAAAAGCTGTTTCTTGACTCTGCAACCCTGACAATCTTCTATTGTACAACTCATCCACATTACTTCCTTATGAAAGCACACAAAGAACAGTATTCATGCATGCACGTATGTACAGAATAAAAATATTCATTTCCATTTCTTCCTCACAATTAAAAAAATAAAAGAATGAGAAATGAGAGAGCCAAAAGAGAATTAAGGAACATAAAAAAAAGTCCACGTATGCAGCACATAAGAAGACCCTTCTCAACTCACAAATTGCTCACTCACACCACATTCACAATATATTTCCTATCTCCCTCCCATTCCTATTCCATCCACGGGACATAGAAAAAAAAATCCTCAGTGGTGTGAGGACGAAGGCAGCCACAGAAGAAGGCAGGATTTTTTTTTTCACAATACACAAAAAAAAAATTTGTTCTGTTAAAAGCGCTCTCATTTGTCCATCCCTTTTCGCGCGCACAACTACGGACACATACAAGTCGAGGAAGGAATGAAGGAAGTAAGGAACAGAAATAAAAATTGAGAGAAAAACAACAACAAGAAAATTTTTTTTTCTCAACTTTTTTTACAAGCGAAAAAAAAAATTCGCAGTGTAAAAAAATTCTTGTTTTTCCTTCGGTTGAGTCTTCGGGTGGACATCGGATCGAGGGTATTTTTTTTTTGCTATTTCTCGAACACAAATAAAGGATTTTTATTAAGTTGCTGTTGTTGGATGTTTTAACGGTTTTTTGACTAGATTATGGACTATAGTGAGTTTTCAGGTAGAAATTTGACATTTTGGTTGCTGATGTTTGATGTCATATTAGGAATAGCAGCTCATATGAGTAAATTAGTAAATCTATCACTGCATCTGTCTATCAAGATGGACATCAGTAAGACCACGAGTCCATTTATTCGCTAATGTGATTCATAATGGAATGAAAAACCAAATTTCTGTGGTAAAATAATATTTTTTTAAGCTTTTTCCATTGTTTGATTTGACTTGTGGTACGGCCTAAATTGAAATACATTGTAGTGAACTTTCTTTGGCAGCAGCGATTTCTAAACTTTTTCGAATCACAGCACACCTTAGTGGTAGTCAACGACCAAAACGGTACACAGCATTTGGTTTAAAGAAATTTCTGAATTTTTCTGCCGTACACAGTATGACTTTTATGCGGGAGTGGGAAAGTCTGACTTCAAAACTGACCAAATGTCAAGTGCATACCTTCTCGTGGTATCCCCTAATACCGCTAAATGCACCGCTGGTGACCGAGTCCTATGTCAGAATAATGACTTTAAAGGATTGATTATAAGCCTATCCAAAGAACCTCGTTTGTAGACTGGCAGCCCCACATTCAGGCTAGGGATGGTGAGGTTTACAACCAACCATTCCCGAAATCAACATGGACTAAGAAAGCAACATAAGGTAAACAAACAGAGTCAGATGGAAAGCCTTTTGTTGTAACCTAAGCTCCACATAGGAACATGGTTACAGCAAGTAATAGTTTAGAAAACACTGACTTAAAGATCGCACAGCACAGGCTACACTCAAATCGAGTCGGTTCGACTTAAAGCAATCGACTTGAGTCGAGCACAATTTTTTATATAGACTTGAGTCAACACCAAACTGGCAGAAGATTCCGAAGAATAGAGATGTCTTAAGATGATCTTTGAATACGGTAATTGGCAATGGGCAATTGTGGGCAATGGGCAAGTAGTAATGGGCAATGGACCAATGGCAATAATCACTAGACAATGGAGATGAGAAATGGGCAATGGGCAATAAGCAAACAGGCAAACGAGCAATGGGTAGGGTGACCATCTAATTTTTATGAAAATACAGGACATTTGATAAATTTCTTCTTGGTGCTCCCAAGCCAAGGAAGTAGAAGTAAGTAAATTTCTAAATGAAAAGCGAACATTTTACATCAAATAATATTATTTTCTACAATTTTTTATCAAATATTTTTATACTTTTACTTTCACTTTCACGTTTGAGAGTTTTGCTATTTTTTAAAAAATTCTCCATTTATTCACAAACGTAAGGAATTTCAAGTCAAACAATCAACAAACAATTCCAAAAATCTACACAAACGAAAGAAGAAGTAAAACTTTTTCGAGGCCTCCCATTTGGTCGATTTCTTGCCTTTTTCTTCCGTTAAACAGCAAAAAAAAAACTTATTTTAATTTCCTTAATAAAAAAAAACTTTCGCCTATCAACTCAGGTCCCCCCATCCACTAAAGATCCGTTTTAATGTGGGCCACGCACCAAACACAGCAATAATAAAAGACAAGAAGAAGGTGCTCATTTGGCTGTGTGTATTGTGAAGCTCGTTTGAGAGTTTAAAAAAAAGGAAGGCAAAGTACATAAAAAAAAATGTATATACACAGTCCATCCTTACGACTGGCGAGATGTGCGAAGTAAGTACAATAAAAAAATAAATTTTTTTCTGTAAACGGTTTAAGGGGCAAGCGCAGAAAATGAGCGGCGTTTGCAAGCAAAGAAGGAAATTGATAAAAAAAAGGAAGCAAGACAAAAAAAATTCCAAGAGAAAAAGTCGAGGATGGCCGAAGTTGGCCACTGCTTCGCGAGCGGACAGAATTGAAGAAAAGAAGGAGCTGAAAAAATTGGCGAAGTGAGGAAATGGAAAATGGATTTTTTTTTGTTTTGTGTTTCTTCGGGGAGGTACGGTTGAGAAAAATGTTGAATTAGCAAGTATGAATGATTATGTGGAGTTATAAAGCGCATTTGAGGAGGGTTTCAGTAAAAATTACTTGCAAGTTTTTGAAACAAGTTTTTGGTACAAGGTTTACGTACAAGAACTACGTACAAGTCTTTCGAATAAAGTTTTTAATACAAGCTTGTTAAAAAGTCAAATTTAGAGTTTCGAAGCTGTTATCATGACAACAAAACATAACCTTAAAATACCAAAAAAATGTATTTATCACCAAAATTAGTTCCATGTCCACACATTCACTTTTATAACCACTCAAGCGGCAATAACTTTCATCATTTTTATTTCTTTATTTTTATCACCATCATTTTCACTCGAAAGAAGCATTCGCTTAGCAGAAGGGTCGAATAATCTAATTTTTTCGGCTGTAATTTATTTAATTAGCAATATAAATTGTCGTTGAAATATTTCTCAGTCATTGGGTTAGGCGAGAAAGTTTTGCTGTTGTCTTTGCTGATATTTTTTTTCTTTTTGTTGTTGCTATGAATGCTGAAAACTATTTTCAGCTTTAAGGACGGAGAAAATTTATAGATTTAATTTTCTGTTGAGTTGTTTAGTTTGTTTTGTGGATGGAATAAGTTTTTTTTTTGATATTTTTGATGAAGCTTTAATAAGTGAGAATTTTTGAGATGAATATTTGATGTTGTGGAGCTTTAAATATTGATTTTTGTTGTCGTTTTGTTCTATAGAATTTAACTTAATTAACTTAATCGAATTATTCAAATGAGTTTTATCAAATTTTATGCAACCATCTTGTCAAGTTTTACGCAAGCAACTCATCGTATTTTACGTAACCATTTCATCGATTTTAAGGTTGTTCTCTCATCGAATTTTACGTAACGATCTCATCGAATTTTACATAGCAATTTCATCAAATTTTACGTAACCATCTCATCGAATTTTTCATAAGCAACTCATCGAGTTGTACATACGTAATTATTCAAACCAGCAGTAATTATATTTCAAACCAAAATATATCCTCAAAAAGTATCAAAAATTTTCAAAAAAAAAAAACTCACCTGAATCTCATTCACCAACTTATCAGCATTGAACTTAGCCTCAGGAGATGAATTCTCAGCGCCAGGCGATGTTGATGATGGTGGTTGTTGTATTTGCTGTTGTGCCTGCGATTGTGCTTGTCCATTTGGTTGTTGCTGTTGCTGTTGAGTCATTGAAAAGCCACTGGCTTGTGTATTGAAATTATTTTGAAGATTTTGTTCTGTCGATTGTGACATAAGGTGTTCCTTCATGTCCACATTGTTATTCTCATTATTATTATTATTATTATTGTTATTATTGTTATTATTATTATTATTATGAAATCCAGTCGCAGCTTGTTGCTGCTGTGATTGTTGTTGTTGTGGATTTCTTCCTGTATTATTAAGATAATCAGCACTCGTTGTGTCCATCATAGATGGGAAATTAAGGTTTGTAGCTGTTGCTGAGGGAGGACCACGTGCTTGTGGCCAGAAATCTGAATTCATCTTGAACTGCTGTTGCTGAATATCCAGGGACATAAAAGGATTTTTGATGATTTTTTATTATTTTTCAATATTTCCAATTTTTTTAATTTTATTTCAATAGTTTTGGACTTAAACTTGAAGATTTATTTACGATTATTAACTTTTAATGCAATACGCTCACTAAGTTGTGAGTTATGTTGGGTTATGATGAGTTTACATTCACTTTTTGTCAATAATTTTAACTTATTATGTTGCTATATTGTCCAATTACGTTTAATTAAGTCCAATTTTAACACTTAATTTGCTGCTTTTTTGACAACTTTTATTTAATATTTTTTCTTATATTTTAAAACTTTTTCAGAAGAAGTTTTAAGTTTACTCGGAAATTTTTTTTAATTTCCAACTTTTTTGTCAGTTTTTAAGAATTATCTTAAGTTTAAGGTTTAAACTTAAATTTCCTACTTTTTACAATTTTTATTTTTTTAAAGATTTTTCTTCAATTTTTAAGTAGATTTTTTTCTTATTTTTTAAGAAAGTTTCTAGTCTTTAGCACTGTTTACTGATTGTTTTTATATTAATTATTATTGAAAAATTTTATGATTTATTGTTCACAAAAGTTTTAGTTCTATTTTTAACTTTCAAAAGTTTTTGCTGTTGACGAACTTTTTTTGCTTACTTTTGAGTTGGTTTAAGATGATTTTGCCTTTTTTAGGATTTTTTAAGGCCTTAAAATTCGAAGAATTTTGTATATTTTTGCTGATCTTATTTTTGGCTATTTTTAAAGATTCTAGAAGATTTTTGATTTGAATCTCTAAAGTTTATGCTGAATATTTTATAACTTGTTGTTGATTTTTGTAATCAAGTCTGTAGATTCTGTTGAATAAAAAATAGAAAATTCAAAAATTATTTTAAAACATTGAAGAAATGAAAAATCAAATAAATTTGTTAATAATTTTTTAAAAAATTCAAATAAAAATATGAATAAAATAAAAATAATTCAAAAGTTCAAAAAAATATTTTCCCTCCAAAATCAAAAATTTTCCATGCATATTTTGCCTTAACTGACCTTTAAACAAAAACAAAAAAGAAAAAAAAATTATCACAAATATTCCAAAAATCTTCAAAAAATTCTCAATTTCTTCAACTTTTTTTCCCTCTCAAAAAAAATCTTTTTCTTTTTCTCATTTCAAAATTTTTCTCAAACCTTAAAAAAATAAATTTTTTCACTCTCGCGAGAATTTTTTAAGAAATATTTTCAGAGATCAAAAAAAAATCGTCTTCAAGAAATAAAAATTTTCAAAAGTCGGTCGTGTTGTGTGTCTTGGACGACGTTGAGTTATCAACTGGCAGTCATGAAAATTAAACCAAGTCACTCAATCTTTTTTATATTTTCAAGACTTTTTTTTTGAAGGAAATTTTCTTTGCTGTATTTTTCCTCTCATTTTTCTCTTCGAAGACTTTTCTTCCTCTCAGAATTTCTTTTCTATTGCTGTTCACGAGGATTTGGCTGTGCTTTCTTATTTCTTGAGGTGTTTTTTTTGTGAAAGATTTTTGAATTTATGCGAGGATTTTTTTTGAGATTCCAACGTTTTTGAGCTAGTTTTTGTATTACTTTATAAATCTAGTAGCCAGTTTGAGGCTTCATCAAAGGGAGGTGATGAATTACAATTGAACTGTACGGCCAGCGAAGTTAAGGGTCTTGGGTCGAATTTAAAGGGTATCTTGGGTACTTTGCCCTAGTCACAGTCAAACTTTGTTCAAATCTTAAAGATCAGTACGATTCATTTATATTCCAGGCTAGAATAGCATTAGAACTTCGTGTCTGAGTTGGCTTAATGCTCCTAAGCCTTTACTGAATACAAAACTATTGGTAGATTTAGTCTATAGAAGTCAAGACCCACTGTAAGCCTCTCTTAAATAATAAAATATTTAAACCACGATTAAGAAAAATCACAAAAATTTCCGAAACTTTGTTTAGTCATAGTGAAAATTTTTAAGACTTTGTAAATACTTCATTGAGACTTTTAGCAAAAAAAATTATTTAAAATTAAAAAAAAAGCCGTTAAATGGCAAACGAAAATTCGAACAATTTAAAAAAACTTTCCTTCGATTTGCAAACTTAGAATTTCTTCCAATTAATTCTTAAATCTTTTTTTTTTTGAGCTCAGCTTTCCTTTCTTGAGCATTTAAGATAAAAACTTGAAACGAAAAGTTTAGTTTTTTTTTTATAAATTCAGAAAAACGATTTATTTTCATTTCAAGTTTTTTTCTTATCTGAAAAACAAACTTTTTTTTGTGAAAGTCATTTCGACAGTTTTTCATTACTTTTCGATTCATTTACATTCATTTATTTTAAAATCTTCGATGCTGTCAATCTTTTTTTTTGAATTTTCTAATGAATTAAATTATTTTTAAGCTTTTGTTCAGTTTACTGTGAATTCTGTGACTTATTTGTTGGATTTTTCTAGAACTTTTTTTTAAGATATATTTTTTAACTTAGACTTTCCTAAACTGGCAGTATCTCCAGCTCGATGTTTGAATCATGTCGCTTGGCTGGATCCATCACACATTATTTTTATCCCTCCAGTCTTTTATAAGCATTCGTAACCCAATCAAGCATTTAAAACCGTTGAATATCATTAAACAGTCAAGTTTTTAATAAAACTTTCAATTGACATGCATTTTGCATCAAGTCAAGTCATATCAGCTTTAAAATACCAAATATAAGAGAACCCAAGGAATTTATTAACTAAGTTAATATAAAAATTATAAAAAGCCAATTCAAAATTTTAAGCAAATACCCAAAACTCAATAAATCTGATCATCAAGTTCAACTCCAACCTAACCTTCAAAAAAAGTTTAGATTCATCAATTTTAAAACCCAAAACAAAGCCTAAAATCACAAAAAAAAGACAATAAAATTGAAGATGCAGAGCAGCAGGCAAAGCAGAAAGAGAAAGCACAACATATGTAAAATAATCGATAATTTTCATGTGCCATATGCAGCACATCCCTTTCCCAAAATTTAAAATCAGACACACTCAGGTACACAAAAATAAATGGTCAGAAAGATTTTACGAGGATGATGATAAATGAGGATTGATACCAAAAAAAGAGGGTCAAGAACACGAAAGTGAATTAAAGTTGAAATTCTTGGATTTGATTTTAAGTTGAGAATTGAAAGGAAGTTAATGGAGTGTTTTGAAGTTGAAAAATAGATTTGTTATTAACTTTGTCGTCCCAAATAAGATCAATGAGGTCACTTTGTGCTTGATGAGCTGAACTTGTAAGAATTAATTTTGAAAAAGTGGATTTTTGAACTTAATTTTTTTTTCAATTTTTTATAGCTCCGCTTGAAGTTTTTTACCTTTTGACTACTTGAGATCAAAATTACCTCAAAATGGAATTTAAAAATATTCTGTGAATCTCAAAAAGCATGTCAAGAAAATTTTAAGAATTGAAAAAAAAAATTAAAATCCTGAATTTTTAAAACTTTCGTTGTTATTAACTTTTTAAGTTCAAACTTATAAATTTTATTTAAAATTTTTTTCAAAATATTTATTTTTTGTTATTTTAAGTCAGATTTTAAATTAACTGATTTTGAAGTTTTCTATTCAAAATATTAATTTAAAAAAAATTGAAAAACTTACAGAATTTTTATCCCAGCTTTAGATTTTTTTACGAAATTGAATTCATTTGCATATTTTTAATTTTTAACAATTTTCATACTTTTTCACGTTTTGCAAGGAATTTTAATGTTTTTTTAAATTATTTTAAACTCCAGATTTCAAAAGTTTTGTTTTTAAAAATTCTTAAAATTATTTTTTTGTCCCAGTTTTATTCAATTTTTATTTCCACTTGAAAATCAACTTTTTTTGGTTTTCGCACCTTTTTCAATTTTTCAAAAGAAATTCCAATATTTTTTCTAATCCATTTTTGCAACTTTTCTCAACATTTTCTTGAAGTTTTCTCAGCATAGAAATTTTCTTCACAAATTTTCCATCTTATCCAAACTCAATAAAGAGTGTTGTTGTTGTCACACGGGACCGCCAAGACCGACTGCAAGGTACCCGACCGATGAGCGACTATCTTATTGCCTCTCGTTCAACAAGAAATTTTTCTTAAGCAACTCAAATTTTTTTTTCCTTTTTTTTTATTTTCCACACCACGAAGAAATTTTTCTTCAAGACAAATTTTTTTTCGCCGCTTCAGCGGTTCGCGAGATATTTTCTTATTGCTAAGGAGGAAAAATTTTCTCCATTTTTCGCGCATTTTCTTCAAGAAAGTCGTTTGATTGTGTGAGTCAAAGACGCTTGTGTGCGTCTTGTTGATCATTTTTCAAAAGAATTTTTCCTTTCAAGACTTTTTCCCCTAATTAGTCGCGAAGAAAATTTTCTTCTTCAACTCTTTTTTAAATTTTTTCATCTCTGAGATTTTTGGATGTGTTTGTGATGTGTTGAAGGGGATGTGGCGCATGGCTGTTGATCCTCACATGTGATGATGACTTTTATTTTGGAAATTTTCTACAATTTTCTATTTGAAATCATTTTTTTGAGTAGATTTTCTATTCGAATTTTCCGACAAGCAGCGCCTCAAGCGGTGAAAAGTTGAAGATAATTTTTCATTTTTGTCTCGACTAGAATTTTTGATATTTTTTTTGTGCTCTCAGGAAAATTGAATTTTTGACAGCATGAAAAGTTGAAGATGCTCAGACTCTCGAGAGGAATTTGAGGTTCTTTTTTTGGAGAGAAAATTTAACTCTCAATTTTGTTTTATTTTTTCAATTTTTTTTCTGGTAAAGCAGAAGAATTTGAGCGAACTTGTCGAAATGTGAAATATGATGAATGAATTGATCAAGTCAATGTTGGTGTTAAGATTACTTGGCTAAAGCATTTTTGGTATCAAATTGCAGTTTTAAAAAAGTAGATTTTCATGAAAAGCGTTAAGCTACAAAGATGAATATCAATAAATTATTTTCATCGAGAATTTTCTACCCACAAGAGACTTGATATCCAAAATATCACAATTTAATGTCTAATTTGAGCCGATTTAAA